CATCCATCTCTGCTACAACGAGCTGGGTCCTAGCGGTGCTATGGATTTCCTCAACGGCTGCCAGAGAGTTGTCAACTACTGGCTTCTTCACAACGGCCACAGCATTGGTATCGGTGACACCATTCCTGATGCTGCGACCATCGCCAAGGTCCAGACTCACATTGACGATGCCAAGACAGAGGTCAAGCAGCTCACAGACATGGCCACCAACAATGAGCTTGAGCCATTGCCCGGTATGAATATCCGTGAGACCTTCGAAAACAAGGTCTCCAAGGCTCTCAACACGGCCCGTGATAAGGCCGGTACTACCACTGAGAGCAGTTTGAAGGATATCAACAACGCCGTAACCATGGCTCTGTCTGGTTCCAAGGGTTCCTCCATCAACATCTCTCAGATGACTGCCTTGGTCGGTCAGCAGATCGTCGAAGGCAAGCGTATTCCTTTCGGCTTCAAGTACCGCACACTGCCACATTTCACAAAGGATGATTACTCGCCCGAAGCCCGTGGTTTCGTCGAGAACTCGTACCTCCGTGGTCTCACTCCTTCAGAGTTCTTCTTCCACGCCATGGCTGGTAGAGAAGGTTTGATCGATACCGCTGTCAAGACTGCCGAAACTGGTTACATTCAGCGTCGTTTGGTCAAGGCCCTTGAAGATTCGGCCGCGCAGTACGATGGTACTGTTCGCAACTCGCTGGGTGATATCATCCAGTTCGTCTACGGTGAAGACGGTCTCGACGGTATTGCCATTGAGAATCAGTCTGTTGACCACTTCACGATCTCCAACAAGGCTTTCGAAAAGCGGTTTCGTCTTGATGTCATGGACGAGGAGGTTTCCTCGAGTGAGCTCGAGGCGTTGGAATACGGAAAGGAGATTGCCAGCGACCCTACTGTCCAGGAGCTTCTCGACCAGGAGTATGAACAGCTTTCGGTCGATCGCCATATGCTTCGCGAGATTCAGCGCAGGAAAGGCAACAATGACACCAAGATGCAGCTTCCGCTCAACATCATCCGTATCATTGACACTGCCAAGAAGCTGTTCAAGGTGGACGAGACTGCTCGCAGTGACCTTGCCCCTAAGGACGTCGTTCCTGCAGTCAAGGCCCTGCTTGATCGCATGATTGTCGTCAGAGGCAACGATCCTATTTCGAGGGAGGCGGACTACAATGCCACGATCCTCTTCAAGGCCCAGCTTCGGTCTCGCTTGGCGTTCAAGCGTCTTGCTGTCCAGGATAGGATCAACAAGCTGGCTTTCAACCACATTCTCGGCGAGCTGGAGAACCGTTGGTCGAGGTCAATGGTTTCTCCTGGTGAAATGGTTGGTGTGTTGGCTGCTCAGTCTATCGGTGAACCCGCCACCCAGATGACGCTCAACACTTTCCATTTCGCCGGTGTGTCCTCCAAGAACGTCACCCTTGGTGTGCCGCGTCTAAAGGAAATTCTCAACGTTGCGTCCAACATCAAGACGCCTTCCATGATGGTTTACCTTGACTCCAAGGCCGCGACCCAGGAGGAGGCCAAGAAGATGCGCAGTGCTGTCGAGCACACGAGTCTTCGCTCCGTCACGGCTGTCACTGAAATCTACTACGATCCCGATATCACATCGACTAACATTCCCGAGGATTACGATTTGGTCGAATCTTACTTCCTTATTCCCGATCAGAGCGGCGACGAGCCAGATCCGATTGAGAACCAGTCTCGTTGGCTTCTGAGAATCACTCTCGATCGCCAGAAGATGCTTGATAAGGGTCTCCGCGTTGAGGATGTTGCTCACCGCATCAAGGAGGTTTACAAGAAGGATGTTGCGGTTGTCTTCTCCGACAACAACGCTGAAGAGATGGTCATCCGTATCCGTGTTATTAAGGCGGATGATGACAAGGATGAAGATGGTAACAAGATCATTGAGGATGATGTCATGCTCAAGCGTCTTGAGAAGCATCTCCTTGACGGCTGCACACTCCGTGGTGTCGAGGGCATTGAGCGTGCCTTCTTGAACAAGGGTGTTAAGCTGATCGAGGCCAAGGATGGCTCAATGAAGCACTCCAAGGTGGATGACGACTGCCAGGAGTGGTACCTTGATACACAAGGTACCTCTCTTCGTGAGGTCTTGACTGTCGAGGGTGTTGATACCAAGCGCACCACCACCAACGACTTGTGGCAGGTTGTCGATGTCTTCGGTATCGAGGGAGCTCGCGCTGCCCTGATGCACGAGTTGACGGCTGTGTTGGCTTTCGACGGTTCGTACGTCAACCATCGTCACTTGGCGCTTCTTTGCGATGTGATGACATACAGGGGTAGTATCGCCGCCGTCACACGTCACGGTATCAACCGTGCCGACACTGGTGCGCTCATGCGTTGCTCTTTCGAGGAGACTGTCGAAATTCTCCTGGAAGCTGCCGCCGTCGGTGAGCTCGATGACTGCCGTGGTATCTCTGAGAACGTCATGTTGGGCCAGATGGCTCCCATGGGCACCGGCGCCTTTGACGTTCTCCTTGATCCCAAGATGTTGGAGACTGTCATCTCTGACAACTCTCGCATGGGTCTCATGCCGGGCATGACCGTGAAGGGCAGTCAGCTGGATGGCGCGGCTACGCCTTACGACACGGGCTCCCCGATGGCTGACAGTGGGTTCCTTGGAAGCTATTCCCCCACTATGGGCAACTTCTCTCCTATCCAGGGCGCTGGGTCGGACAGCCCGACGAACAACGGCTTCGGCACCGACTACGGTGGCGTTGGCGGATACGGTTCTGGTACCTCCTACTCTTCGGCTACCAGCCCTCGTGCCACCAGCCCCTTCACACCCACGTCGCCATTCAGCTATGGCGGGTACTCGCCATCGTCGCCCGCGGCTGGCTACTCGCCCAGCTCGCCTCTCCTCGACTCTTCTGGTCGGTTCGCTTCCAGCCCACAATTCAGCCCCTCGTCGCCGTCGTTCTCGCCAACTTCGCCGATGCTGCGCCCTGGAAGCCCGACCAGCCCGAGCTACAGCCCCACCTCCCCGAGTTACTCGCCGGCATCGCCAGCTGCCGCCAGGTACTCGCCCACCTCCCCCGCCCAACAATTCTCCCCGACGTCGCCCTCATACTCCCCCACGAGTCCGAGCTACAGCCCGGCCTCGCCTGCTTTCCAGGCTACCTCGCCAAGCTACTCTCCGGCGTCGCCTACCTGGTCGCCAACCTCGCCGGACGCTTACTCGCCCACGAGCCCGTCGTTCCAGCGGTCGCCTGGTCAGCAGCTGTCCCCTACTAGCCCAACGGGTTATTCGCCGACGTCGCCGCAGTACTCGCCGCGGACGCCGGGACGTAATAACTCGGGGGGCAACGGGGATCAATAGTAAGTTGTGGTTCAGTCCGTTTGCTTGGGGTAAAACAGCTTTGCTAACAGAAACCTCAAGTTCCCCCACTTCGCCATCGAATGATTAATCATTCTAAGAAGTTGACATGATTGAGCGGAGCTGGGTTTGAGTTGTAAGAAAAAGCGCAAATGCTTATTAAAGGAGGGAAAGAAGGGGATACAAACCAACTGCCACTACAACACCGTATATAACAAAAAAGGAAGGGTGGCTAGGCAGTAGCAAAATGAGCGCGAGCGCGGAGTTGCTTTTTATCACATTGTTCATCCTGTTGTCGTCACATCAAACTGCATTTTTCTTTCTTCTTGGGCCGTCGTCGTTTGCTTCTCCGTTTCTACTAGAGTTGGAGATAAACTAGCTTACCTTCTTACGTACGTACAAAGAATAAATGCAGCAGAAACAATAGCGAATTAGTCAAAGTTGGGAAAGACAAAATATCATATCATATTAGCATTTCATATTCCTTCTCGTTCGTTTCTGCTTGTTGGCGGTGGTGGTGGTGGGCTTGCTCATGAATCGCTTCTGATGAAAAGAAAGCACAGATTGGTTTGGTTTTTCTGCTCAAAGAGTTTCTTTGCTGTTTGTGGGTTTATATTTACTAAGCAGGCAAATACGAGAACAGGCTCCTCACTTTTTGGTAGCCATCAGATAGCGCAATAGCGTTGGCGATGGGTAGATGGACAACGAGTCGTTGCGCAGCGAATAGTAACAATGAAACTCGTGACACCCTCTAAGTGAAATCATGTCTTCATTTTCCAAATCAAAGGACCAAAACCCAAAAGAAAACCGAGAGCACATTTCTTTCCAATGTTATCCTGGATACCACCTCCAACCCCAAGCGCCTATCCTCCCTGATACCCATCCGGGAATCCTGTCCCCCGGAAAGTTGGATGATTTTTGCCTCCCTTGCCCCAGCATCACGAACAACCAACTCGCCAAAACGGAGTTAAGCCTTCCTACATAAGACCAAACTACAATACAAACAAGCACATACGACCATAGATGGTAGAAAACTCGGGATCCCGTCCGCTCTCCCATAGATAAGCTACCAATCGGAAGATTATCTATGGGAATAATTTTTTGTAGTTTTTAACAGGGGTTTGGATGACTGAGCCAAAAACGCCGCCGCCGTTTCTAGAACCGTTTTCATTGCCTTCGCCATCGAGTGCACCGTTCCACTTACGCCAAGCCCAGCTGAGTGGGCGAGGCATACACTACACAAGGTACTTACTCCTGCCATTTATCGCTGACACCTACTCCATATACTTAGTACTTCTAACTGGGAGGTGTGGTTGGCTTTTGGGAGGTGTGGTTGGCTTTTGGAAGGTGTGGTTGGCTTTGGAAGGTGTGGTTGGCTTTGGTGAACACTTTTCTCCGTACGTATATCCCTTCAGGCGAGTTAGAAGGGCCTCGAGATATAAATTGCGTCTTTACTCTCGGATTCCCGACTGAACCAACCAAGCAAACTTCTGTCCCATTCTAATTGCATTCATTGTATATCAATTCTTCCCAGTTGATTCTACCGCATGAATTACGGCCCCTACGTTGCGAGGGTTGCGTTGGTTTTCATATGAAACCCTCCTTCGAGTTTTCTAATTGATTTCTCCTCCAAAACATGCTGAGCTCGTAAGCCATTGCAGCTTGAGAGGGCATTGTTTGAGTCTCACGGTGCCGACCGCACTCCTCCATCCATATGCAATACGGAAGGGATGGAGCTACGAAAACCGCCGATACCGCCGACTGTACCCGACGTCGAAGAACGGAAAAGAAGAGCATTTGCCGACGTTGACGAATTTACGGTAATAATACATGAGCGTTCGCTTTGTAAGAAGACCAAAGCCGAGCGAGAACGCGCGTGGTGTCTATGGAATAGGTATGTACCTTATTATTTTGCTGTTTTCTTTGATATTGCGTACTAATGCTTTTTAGATTTGTCATAGAAGTGTTACAATTAACACAAAAAGAGGCTGATAAGGTTTGGTTTGGTATGTGCCAAAATAAGAAAAAGTCCATTGCTATTTGCAAGAGCTTTCTGGCTGACTATACACGCTATGCAAGATGTAGGCGTCTGTATATAGACGGTACCGAGGAACAGAAGCAGGTACCAACAGTTCAATCAGTAGTGACTATTATTGCTGTATGGAAGCATGTAGTAGCTCAAGCTGATGCTGTAGTGCTTGCGAAGAGAAGGGATCAAGATTCAAATGAAGATTCAGACGAAGATTCTGAATAATGGATATTGCTTGGCAACCGTGGGAAGGCCCGTGGAGAGGTTATCTAGGTAGATTTCCTCTTTACCTATACCGATATTGTATACTAATATTTCTTCTTACAATAGATCTAATCAATTCTTGTACAAAAGTTTAACCTATTATGCAAATAAATATTTGAGAAAACCGAAGCTACAACAGACGATATTCTGCTTATTCTTAGTACTTTGTGGGAAAGCGCAGTCGATATACCTTGTGATCCTAGACATCGGCTTGCCTTTCATATATTGGTGCTTATAGGAAGCATTGGCTTTCAGCCCGGCACTTATGAGAACATGCTTTATCGACAAGTTAAGCTACTTGTCGTTCGCGATCCGGATACAAAGCAGCCAAGGCTTGTTGCTGAGATCACGATCAATCAAAACAAGCTATCGGCTAACAAAATTGATAAGGGGGCAGATGTGTATGTATTCTTGCCTTTAACCGTTGATTCAAACTAACACTTTTCTCGTGTGACCTTTTCTACTACTATGGTACCATGCCAGATCGTTTGTTTAGTTACGTTTGTAGTTATTCAAGCTCTACATGATAATGCCTTCGAAACAGAGTTTTCGTCCTTCGACGAATTACTTCAGCGTCCAAACTTGGAAGATGTTGATTGCATTGAACTTAGGTGGAAGGATGAGATGCAGCAAAAGCCTATCTTTCCCTTAAAGTACTACAAATATCTGGAACTTTGGAACCGGACATGGTTGGTAGCGGGGAACAGAAACACTCTCCGCCCCTATGCGCTGCGAATCGGCGGTGGAAATAAAATTGATGGTAAGAACTTTTACCCGTTTCCCTTACTATTTTGCTTACAATTTTTACACAAGGTTCCCTTACATCTGCTATTCGAAACCACATCCTGAGCTATAACACAAAAACATTCGAAATATCTTACCAAGCGAGGCATATTCCACACAATTTGATGTCACTCGTTTTCGATAGTACATCTGAAGACCAATCCAAGCTATTCAAGCTATTGGCCTCCGCATCATTGCGTAGGGATGACAAAGCACCGCTTTATCCGACAGCGGCTATGCTAAAAACGTTTGAAAATCGCGAGGATATGAAAGCACTTCGCGCACAGCGTCGTCACTTCCGGGAAGAGCTCAAACTCTCTGTAGACAATACACAGGTAAAGCAACTTACTGTAAAAATTGGAAATCTACGGACGGTATTATCAGACTTGGCTGTCAAGCAGGCTCGAGAAAACTACTTCGCTGAAGTTGATTCCCTTAGGGCTCGTGGCCTGTCAACCGAAGATATGCCAGCCCCCCCTCCAAATCCTTTCAGATGCTCCTTCGGTCCCAGTTTATCTGCAGCAACAATCATTGGTCGATACTTGAACCCCAAAGATCCGGTTTCCGACACCGCCACGAAAATGGGTTTTCCAAATTCGAACGACAGTGGTTCTGACCAAACTACCCAAAAGCATCTTGCAGTACCGAAAATGCTTTTTGCGTATCTGAATGATAGGTACGGAGAAGTAGAAGCTATTGCTCGGGAAATGGAGCAAACAGCCTCCGAACATAAGGAAGCAGCTTCCACGCTCTCTACATATCTTCTCTGCCGACAAAGCTTCACTCGTCGACATAACCTCAGTAGACACCATCGGAGCGTCCATTTCACGGCAACGACCTTTGAACCTTTCTCATGCCCCGAATGTCAGCGGCAAGGAAAGAAAGAGTATAGAATCGAGAGGGCATCGGAGTGGAGTAACCATGTCGAAAGAGTACATGGTTCAATCAATACTCCGGATCTCTTCACCAAGCCTATCGTCAAACCCAAACCAATGGCTACAACTACCAAGTCTAAATCCGCTCCTTGTTTAAGATGCGGCCAATTGTTCTATGCAGGAAGCAGTTTTTCAAGACACATGAATAAGTATCACAAGATCGACAAGCCATTCGATTGTCCCAAATGTAAGGGAGAAGGGGAGAATATCCAGATTAATGACCTCGCTTCGTGGCTTACACATACGTCGGATGTTCACAGTTGTAATGGGCAAACAGGAGTTGTTATTGATAAGGAATGCCTACTAAAACAGGGACAGAAGAAGAGGAGAAGAGAAAACATAGTGGAGGAAGCTATAAAACGTACTAAATTAGAATCCCAAGTATATAGAATACAAACAAGAATGCTGTCTCCGTCTCTCCCACCGAGATATCTCCTCCTGGAACCACGATTGCGACAACCGTGATCGCAACCAAGCCCGACAGCAATGGTGAGTCCTTCAATTGCCTTGAGGTTTCTCATTGTGCCGCCCGATTGATTGTGCCGCCCGTCTGGTTGTGCTGTCTGGGCGTGCGAAGAATTCACGTGATCCTCCTTGAGACTCGACATCTCTGGGTGCGGTTGCGATCAGTGGGGCGGTATTGCGGACCGGGCGGGGCCGTGGCGGCGGAGTGGGCCCCGAGAATGACGGAGCGGTGGGAGCACAACCGGACAGTAACTGCCGAAGCCGAGCAACTCGCAATGGCCACCAGCGCCTCAATCTCCAGATTGGGTGGCATCATTTCTCAGACCTCATCGGGGACCATCTCGTCAACGTGTTAACTGACTTGGGACCTAGTTTAGAAGAACCTATGCTTTTGGCGCATATATATAACGATATCATACGTTAAAGCTCCCAGCTCCTTAACCACATCTCGCACCTTCTCCTCGTCTAGCCATTCGGAATGCTTACAAAGGGTTTCCACGACGACATCTCTTAAGCCTCTGTCATCTTCAATAGTGGATTCGTACACCACTAGCGCTGCCCCAAGGATATCATCGATATCCAAGGAGACAGTAGCCGCCGCCTTGAATTGTCGAAGCGCGACAGCCTTCAATCCACGGATCAAGTACTTCTCTGCTAAGGCGTAAATTTTTGCATGAGTCAGAAGGGCGTCCGCTGCCGGTTCATTGACGTTGGTTTCGTATCCGTCCATTTCTAACCCATCAAAACCACTACGCTCGTGTTGTAGCCGTACGTCATAGTCGAAGTGGTATAGATAATGTACCATTATATGGACAAGCCGAGGGTCATCATCTGGGAGGTCAATCTTTCCTTCTTGTGCCTCCTAAATATAATGTTAGTTTAGTGTCGTTGCTAGTGTATGGACTGTCACTAGCCTTGAAACTTCCGCGGCAAGTTGCAGAGAAGAACTCGGACTGCGTGCATACGATGGCCCTATGCATATGGTATTCCCTTCCTCCGCAGGATATCACGAGGTCTGAGTACTCCCCGCTGGAGTAGAGCCTATTCAGAGGCCATTGTCAACACCTGCAAGTTCCAAAGACGGAGGAACGACGAGAGCGAAATGATCATACCCTTTTAGAGAACTTACTAGGTCTTTAGAGGGATCATCTCCGGCCGTACCGCGGGCTGTCTGAGTCAAGGAGCTAGCTGGCGAGCCTCCAAAGCCTGTAAACGCCATTCCAGAACCTGATATTGTTGTCTGCGCGTAAGGGCGGGCAAATTCATGCCGCCTCGAGTACAGGCGATGATGCCGAAGCGCTTCTGCGCTTTGAAAATAACGATCGCAATCCGTACAATACTTCATCTGGGCCAGTGTTGGGAATGCCTCAAGTCTGCATCAGGCCCCCCTCCATTGTCATAGCCATTTTGTGTTCGTCTCTTGCGTTGCAGCCCGACCCCGCCCAAAATGGCCGATTTGCCACGTAGCTTCCTTAAGGTGATTGAACATCCCACACTGGTTCCTCGGCCGCCCGATCACCGCCAATTCCGCCACGCCCTGGCCATCAGTTACGACGAGAACGCTCCATATCTATTTGCATGAATGTCACTATGAAAACTCATCACGGGTCAGCTCCGTGATCCTCTGGGTTGTCGGTGAGCGTCCGCTTGCCGTAGGTCGGAGTGACAGCGTCCTGAGAAGAAGCTAAGTCCATTGTACGCTGGTTTTTATAATAATGTTAACTAAAATATATTCAGTCCTAGATATATTTAATTACACCCTATCGTAATAATATCAATATTGAAAGAATCTTCCTGTAGTTTGCTACCTTCGCCCTTCTCAAAAGAACTAGAACTAGAAGTGATACACACTATTGAGTCACAGACTCTAAACATCCAAGGCATCCGTTCTAGATTCAAGAAAATTTTCACCTGTTGGTGATATCTAATACATATGACACCGTGAGATATACAGTATCGTCAAGTTATTCTTATATAACTAGGCCATCACTTTGTATGACAGGGTGGGATGCACATGCCCACACGGCCAAACCTATAAAAGATAGGACGATGTTCGCTTGCCAACGAACATCGAAGTGCATACTGTGACGGACTGGGCATCCGTCGCAACTATATAAGACCACTTGAGCAACCGAATTACCAGCTTCGGTTACTTGTATCCTTTTGCGAAAACACGGAACGTATAGCGTAGTGGTGAAATGCGTCGCCGTGACACATACTATATAGGCAGTCACAACCCTGTGACAAGTCTTTCTGTATCTAAAAAGATAGTTGCATGGTAGGACTCTGAAGGCATAGATAATATATATTTATAAAGGGATTTCAAATAAATAGAATAGTATATAGTTTTAATTGGGTAACTTGGGTACTTTAATATTAAAGTAAGAAAGGCGAGCCGAAGGTTGCTATGGGAAGGAATCCCTTTATAGGAATTCCTTATCTTATTATAAACCTACTTTATGTCACGGCGGTGGCAGACCACTACACTAACCAGCCCGTGTCCTCGCAAAAGGATACAAGTAATCGAAGCTGGAAGATTCGATACTCAAGTGGTCTTATATAGTTGTTTCGAACCGCACGTAGTTCCGTATCGCGTCGGCCGTCACACTTTATATAGAGCTATATAACCGGGTAGGTATAGTTAAAGAGTACGTACCTAACAGAAATTTTTTTTTTTAAAAAAACATTATTTTAAATTAAAATTTTTTAACGTGTAGGTGATATTCAATACATATAACACTGTATGCTATACAGTACCGTTAACTACCAACGTAGTACTAATTATTATTGGGCCAAGGGTGTAGCGCTACTAAGACTACTTTGGTCGGTCCAAATTAGGGTAATTAAGGAAGGTACTGTACTCGTCAGTTAGGTGTAGAGCCCACCCTCTGGGGGTCTCGCTTGCAGCTAGCCAACCGACTCTCCTCGTCCCTCTAAGAGTCGGATTTTTTACCTTCGTCTGCCTGCTCAGCAAGGCCTCCGAGCCGATTATCCTTCGACGTTGACGAGTATGGCCAACTTTGCTTTCGCGTAGAAGAGTTAAGGTCGACATGAAGATGCCCTAGCATTGATGTAAGACTGCGTGGAGGCGCGGGAGCGAGTCCTCGGGCCCGAGTATCCCTATACGCTGTTATCCTTAATTACTGTATCGAAATGGAGTAGCTAGGCTCATCTTAATTCTTCTTGCTATATAGTGCAATCTGAAGGCCTCTATTTGGTTACATATAAAACTACCATAAAAGTGTCTACTGGGGGACCGCTATAACGAAGGTACCCAAACATTTAGGGTGATCACTCAAAGCACCTGGCCAGGACAGTGACTTGGTTTATGAATAATAGAAGGCAAGAAGCGAAGTAGCCAAGGTGAAGATGACGGTCAATTGAATCCTATGCTATCTACCCGCCAATACATTACGGCCCTTCCGGGCCTTATCCTTTCCTCCTCTTCGGCTCACTAAATGAGGTACCTGGAGTGACCGCCTGCTGCCCGGCATTGCTCGACTGGCTGCCCCGCTCGTCAGGCAGAGAAGCGCAGCTGGCATCTGACTGCATCAAGTTCCCCAAATCCTGGGAAAGCCCGGTCGCCTCGGAAAGCGGTGGGACATGTATGGGACTCGTGACAAATGGGCACTGATAGGAGGATAATGGTCGGGATAGAGCTAGGTTTCATGTCTGGTAGTGCCTCATGTACAAGAAGGAAAAGTCTTATGAAGGATGGGCGGTTGGAACGAAGCTTGGAAATGTCGCAGTTTTTCATGTACCAAAAAGGAAAACGAGAGTGACGTGAAGAAGGACAAGGTCATGGGCAGGACAAGGTCTCTCAAAGACCATGAGGAAGATCTTAGTTGCAATTTGAGATCGCCTTTGTCCCACATTCGCAGTTCTGCCTTCGTCCAGATTATTTCCTCCGAAATGACGTAACAAATTTGTATCGATGTCCTTGAACCATTGCTGTTCTAACGAACGAACGAACGAACTTAACAAGTCCTGGCAGACACTGGAGAACTTGCTATCTTTTGGTGTTGCAACCTACACTAGCCATGGGACCTTCAGTGCGATGAAGCAACTTGAAAGCAGCCGCTGGGGATACAGGCGACATGGAAGCTCCGGTTCCAACACATTGCATGATAACTGGAAGCAGACGCGGGAAGAAAAATCATACGACGCGTTTAGCTTATATAATATACTGACCGTAACGTATTCGGTTTATTCTTACGACCTTGCGGCAAGCCAACTGGGTCTCAACAATTTTGTCAGGAACGAGAGTGGGAAGCAGACTTACCTGCCGCATGGACTGTGGTTGAGGAAGATCTTGGCCTTGGACCGCTCGGAGGGTAGTTCGACTTGTTTCAGCTCAGTCATGCGAGCCAAGTCGCTGGTCTGCAGAAAGTCTTAGAGCAACTTCAGCACCCACGCCGTTGACAATTGCTTTTCAACACTAGCACGAGTTAGTAGAGGGGTAATAAGTCAAAAGCACATTGATAGGGAACGTACTGTGATGCCATGTACCTCCTAATATGCTCCGGGGGAACGACACTCTCTCCCGGACAGTCGTAGGGTTGCATATATAGTTTGAACTCCATGACCTGACAGGCGTATCGGACTAGAGCGGTCATTTTGGTATTGGGAAGGACTCCTTGCGTCGATGACTCCCCTTCGTCTTTCCACCCGCTTACTGCCATCATCTGCGGGACGGCCGACCCATAAGAGGCGATGAAGCCACAGGTAGAATTCTGGACCGGGAACGCCAGACTCGTAGTGACAACCTCCTGTAGTATTGTCAACTTTCTCCCGTCTGTCAAGATTGTGGAGCCCGAAAGGGGGTGGTCATTCGTAGAAAGGATAGCTCGAAGGGCCTCGGGTTCGCGGAATATAGTTGAAATGAACCGATCCTTTTTTCCCTTCCTTTTGGGTGGTTGCCAACCGAGTCGCTCGTATTGCTGCAACTTCTTTGCCCTTAGGGCGGACGTGGAGAGAGGAGAGGGGAAAGGCGTGAAGAGGAGCATTTCGGGAAGCAGGGAGAGCGTGGGTCCGCTGACGAGCGCTCAGAATTGGAACACTAGCGAGACCAAGTTGACGGATAACAATAGTGACGATGGGCACAACCAGAGTGGCTGGCCGACGGGGACCAGGACAACGACGGTGACGTATGTCATTGAGAATTGAGTAGTGTCACGGAGCCGCAGGTTGGGCGCGTGAAAAGACAGGGCTTGGGCCTGAAAACCAACTGCCATACGTAAAACCAAGCTGGGGAAAACGAGAAAAAAGGAAGAAGTTCTACGCGCTCCGTCCGTCTCCTATTGTTGAGGAAGATGGATATCTTTGTTGGCATTTAGTGTATCGATCCATACATAGTTCACTCATGTACATATATCGGGGGATTCCCCCACCCTTTCTTTCTTCCCTTTTTTTCTTCTTCAATTAACAAGTTCACCACTACTATTCTTTTATCCTCTTGTACACTCATATTTAGATCCACTCCGTTCACTTCGACAATTAGATCAAGACTTGACGGGCCTTTTTGGTCCAGGCCCGAAGTAGTGAACTTGTAAAGTCACTACATTACGTAACAGCTAAGTCACCTTACTACAACGCAATTCCAACTTTATGTTCAGCCTTCCGTCGATTTAAATGGCGTAGTTCTCGTAGAGGTTCTGCGTATCTTATCTCGTAAGTTATTCCTAATTTTTGAGTGCCTCCTCTTCAGCGACGTCTTAGTTGCGGCTGATGAACCTAATTGAAGCGGAGCTTCAACTATCGTGGAGGTAATTCCATCTGCCGAAGAATAATTGAACGACAATTCGATTTCTAATGATGAACCTGCTTGTAAATGTTAGCAAACTTAACTATTAGTTCTTATAGGAAGAGGCTACCTTTTGCAAGTTGTAAAGATGCTATATTCTTTGCGACAAGGAGAGATTTCGCGTGGGACGAGCCTAAGGCTGCTGAATAACCAGACAGCGCTCGCTGATACATCGTTTCAGCCTCCTTTAGCCGGCCCTGAGTCTTATAGAGGTTGCCCAAGTTGTGAACTATATCGAGAGTTGACGTATGATCCAGTCCAAGCGCCTTCTTGTAGCCTTCTAGCACCAGCTGATATAGCATTTCAGCCTCAGTTAGCCGGCCCTGAAGCTCAAAGAGGTTGCCCAAGTTGTGAATTGTAATGAGAGTCGACGTATGATCCAGTCCGAGCGCCTTCTTGTAACCTGGAAGTCACGGCTGTCCAATCTATCATCATATGAGCCTAGCTACTCCATTCCGACACAGTAGCCAAGCATGACAACGTGTCAGGATGCTCAGGCCCAAGGACTCGCTGCTGAGCCTCAACACAGTCTTGCATCAACGCTAGGGCATCTTCATGTCGACCTTGACTATTCCACGTGAAAGCAAGGTTGGCCATGCTCGTTAGCGCGTCGGGATGATCGGCCCCGAGCTTCGCCTTGCGAGTCTCCATCACCTGCACCTCTAGCTTCTCGGCCAGATCACGTGCACGTTCAAGTCTACCATCCCATCTGTTACTGCATATAAGGATGTCATCTCTTTCGTCCCATGTAGACTAGCTTCCTTTCTTCTTCATCTTTAGTTATTTATCCATTTGCACCCAACTACGCGATACGGAACTACGTGAGCTGGTGCATCGTGACAACAGCAAGAAGAATTAAGATGAGCCTAGCTATTCCATTTGTCACAGGATTACCTGTGACTGTGCCTGGCACATGCACGACTCCCGCCATGGGCGGTCGAGCCTTGTGCTGCCAGTGGGTCTAGTGTGGGTCTGGCTCTGAGCATGGCTCAGCCCTACCCTATATCACCAGATCGTACACACTCCTCCCTCCCTTTCTCTTCTCGTACAACTACGCATATCCAATCTATCCCCTACCCTTCGCCTTGCCCCGTGATACCATTCCGACACAGTAGCCAAGGACGACAGCGTATCAGGATGCTCAGGCCCAAGGACTCGCTGCCGAGCCTCAACACAGTCTTGCATCAACGCTAGGGCATCTTCATGTCGACCTTGACTATTCCACGTGAAAGCAAGGTTGCCCATGCTCTTCAGCGTGTCGGGATGATCGGCCCCGAGCTTCGCCTTGCTCATCTCCATCACCTGCACAAACAGCTTCTCGGCTTCGTCCCACCGGCCCTGGTTCCAAAACGTCGACGCCAGGTTGGCCATGCTCGTCAGCGTCGAGGGATGATCGGCCCCGAGCTTCGCCTTGCTCGTCTCCATCACCTGCAACTCCAGCTTCTCGGCCTCCTCCCACCGGCCTTGGTTCCTGTACGTCGCCGCCAGGTTGGCCATGCTCGTCAGCGTCGAGGGATGATCGGCCCCGAGCTTCGCCTTGCGAGTCTCCATCACCTGCACAAACAGCTTCTCGGCCTCCTCCCACCGGCCTTGGTTCCTGTACGTCGCCGCCAGGTTGCCCATGCTCGTCAGCGTGTCGGGGTGATCGGCCCCGAGCTTCGCCTTGCTCATCTCCATCACCTGCACAAACAGCTTCTCGGCTTCGTCCCACCGGCCCTGGTTCCAAAACGTCGACGCCAGGTTGGCCATGCTGCTCAGCGTGTAGGGATGATTGGCCCCGAGCTTCGCCTTGAAAGTCTCCATCACCTGCACAAACAGCTTCTCGGCTTCGTCCCACCGGCCTTGGTTCCTGTACGTCGCCGCCAGGTTGGCCATGCTGCTCAGCGTGTCGGGATGATCGGCCCCGAGCTTCGCCTTGAAAGTCTCCATCACCTGCAACTCCAGCTTCTCGGCCTCCTCCCACCGGCCTTGGTTTCTGTACGTCGCCGCCAGGCTGCCCATGCTCTTCAGCGTGTCGGGATGATCGGCCCCGAGCTTCGCCTTGCGAGTCTCCATCACCTGCAACTCCAGCTTCTCGGCCTCCTCCCACCGGCCTTGGTTCCTGTACGTCGCCGCCAGGTTGGCCATGCTGCTCAGCGTGTCGGGATGATCGGCCCCGAGCTTCGCCTTGAAAGTCTCCATCACCTGCAACTCCAGCTTCTCGGCTTCGTCCCACCGGCCCTGGTTCCAAAACGTCGACGCCAGGTTGGCCATGCTCGTCAGCGTCGAGGGATGATCGGCCCCGAGCTTCGCCTTGAAAGTCTCCATCACCTGCAACTCCAGCTTCTCGGCCTCCTCCCACCGGCCTTGGTTCCTGTACGTCGCCGCCAGGTTGGCCATGCTCGTCAGCGTCGAGGGATGATCGGCCCCGAGCTTCGCCTTGCTCGTCTCCATCACCTGCACAAACAGCTTCTCGGCCTCCTCCCACCGGCCTTGGTTCCTGTACGTCGCCGCCAGGTTGGCCATGCTCGTCAGCGTGTCGGGATGATCGGCCCCGAGCTTCGCCTTGAAAGTCTCCATCACCTGCAACTCCAGCTTCTCGGCCTCCTCCCACCGGCCTTGGTTCCTGTACGTCGCCGCCAGGTTGCCCATGCTCTTCAGCGTGTCGGGATGATCGGCCCCGAGCTTCGCCTTGCGAGTCTCCATCACCTGCACAAACAGCTTCTCGGCCTCCTCCCACCGGCCTTGGTTCCTGTACGTCCACGCCAGGTTGCCCATGCTCGTCAGCGTGTCGGGATGATCGGCCCCAAGCTTCGCCTTGCGAGTCTCCATCACCTGCACCTCCAGCTTCTCGGCCTCCTCCCACCGGCCTTGGTTACTGTACGTCGCCGCCAGGTTGGCCATGCTCGTCAGCGTGTCGGGGTGATCGGCCCCGAGCTTCGCCTTGCGAGTTTCCATCACCTGCACAAACAGCTTCTCGGCCTCCTTCCATAGTCCTCTATCTCGAAATACTAATGCAAGCAATGAGGTGCTCGAGAGAGTCGCCACATCGTCCTTTCCCAACCTCCTCTCGCGTACCTTCCTCGCCTTGCCCAGCATCTGCTGTGCATCTTCATATCTCCCTTGCGACCACGCGTACCATCCTCCGTTGTGTAAAAGAATCGCCCATGACTCGACCGTATTTTCGCTAGGTCGATAATCCGAGGCCACTCGGGCGTGCGCAAAGAGGGTCCGACACATGGCCCAGTTCTCGAACTGGCCCGTTGGGAATGAAGCTGCCATCCGCTCGATGTACTGCTGCCTGAACGTCTCCTCCTGCCCAAACATTTCTAGCCACCTCCTAGTCGACAGCTGCACGAGCCCGTGCATCTCAAATTTGTCCTCTGTCTCGTCCGCGGTGATGAGACAGTAGTCCCTTAGCATCGCCGCATCATCTTCGCAGCTAGCATCGTCTGAGTCACTGTCCGTGCTCTGGCTGCTATCGTCCGACTCCACGTCTGCGGCGTCGTCTAGACCTATTGCCTGCATTCCGTCCTGGGCAATTCTGGAAGGGTTTAGCATCCATCCAGGGATGCCTTGTCGGTCAAAGAAGCTCATAAGCGACAGCAGATTCGCCGCAGAGGGCCGCTTGGACCGGATGTGGTCAAAGGATATCTGCCACGTCGTAAGTATCGCGTTAGACGCCCCTCCGTCCCGCCGCAGGTCCCCACCATCATATTGCAGAAGCTTTCTCCGATTCCGCTCGCTCTCTCGGAACTCGTCTAGGTACTTCTTGGGCGAGCTCCGTGGCGACATTCTCTGAATGTAGGCCGCCGCCTGGCTGATGGCAAGCGGCACAAGGTCGAGCGCCCGCACGAGATCCACCGCCATATCAGTATCCGAGAGCGATCCCAGCTTCTTCTCCAGGAGCAACAGAGCATCACTCTGCGCCATTGGCCCGATCTCGATTGTATTCTTGTACCCCCCTACTAGCCTAGAAGCTAGATCCTTATCACGTGTTGTGACGAGAAGAGACCCGTTTGGGCTCTGCGGAAGATAGTCAGCTAGCGGACGTCGTTCAGGGTTACTGCCAGCGTCGAAGAACACGTCGCGGTCGTCAGCACTGTCAAGGACCATAACCCACTTGCCGTTCCGTTCGTTGCCCAGCCAGCCGTAGACAAGCTGTGGGATGTTGGCCTTGGAGTCGTTCCGGCCGGGCAGCTCGGCGGCGTCGGCAATCGCCCGGAAGCCCTCATCGACCCGCGCCTGCGTGCCGGCATGGACCCAGAACACCCACGTGTCTGGGTGCCGCGCGGCGATCCGGTGGGCGAACTCGATGGCTAGCTGCGACTTGCCGACACCGCCCAGGCCTACGAGCGCAACCCGAGCAGCCGGCTCCGAACATCGCTGGTCGATCTGGTCGAGAATGTCTCCGCGGTTGACGAAGTCGGGGTCGCGGGAGAAGGGGATGGTCGCGGACGGTGGCGGAGACTGCGAAGAGTCGGAAACCCTAGCAGAGGCGACATACCTCTCCATAACCGCCTTCGCTACCGACGCCGCGGTTGCCGCAGCATAATTCTGCCATCCTTTGTTTTTGTGGCTATCGGCATAGTCACACACGCCTTTAATCACGATGCATGGCACCTCATCCCATACGCCTGCTCCTTCCATCTCGAAAGCAATAACCCCGACCTGCTTGGCGATCTGATCACGGTGCTTGCCAGACCGAATAACACTGTCTCCAGATCCGATCGCACCAATGAAGAAGAAGACACCCTCAGAATCCGAGTCGGCATTGTAGTCGTTTGAGGCTGAATCCAAATGTTCCCTCCGTATCAAGCGGTTTGTGTCACATTTCAGCTCTTTGCATGACAACCTAAGAGACTCATCGCAAGCGGGATCCGAGTTGTCATGACAGTCTTCGCACGTTCTGCACCCGGAATCAGGAGCATGCTTGTGTCGGTAGCAGGCATCGAATAGGAGGTCGTTGGCTGCTCCTGGGTACTTGTAGCTGGTATGCCTGCCTCTTCGCTTCCGTTTGGCTATTTCTTCGCTCTTCGTCTGAAGAGCTTTGAGGAAGTCACCCGCCCGTTTCTCGATATGTTCGCGGTCGATGTCCGTATCAAGCTTGACCAGGATGTTGCGAATGATCTTGTCTGGTCTTCCAAGACTGTCATGGGGGTTGTCTTTGCGATCGAAGCGATCCGGAAGCGCTCTTCCAAGGTCATACTGGACCACGAGGTTGCTTATGATTACGTTGCCGAGGACAATGGGGTCCCTTTCCGGTCCTGCGAATGGGACCGCCCCGCAAATGCCCACCAAAAGGGCCAGCGACACTCGCGGATAGCTCGATCGAAGACTTGCAGCTGCGCTGGCGGCGCTTGCTTTTCCCATGTTGGGCAGAAGGACAAGGACGACATTGCACTTCCCCATTCGGCCTGTCGTGTATATATTCGGGTCTCCGTCGACTTTGCCGTACTGATCGCCGTCTTCGTCCCACAGCTTATCGATAAGGAGGCATACGGCGTCGAATTCGAGACGGAGCGCGCATATTATCGCAACTTTGAAGTCGCTGCGCCTGTTGGGACGGGTGAAGACATCAGGCCGTTGACTCGATGATGCATCCATGGGCTGCTGTTACTGCGTTCTTTGCACGAGACATGGTGAGAACATTCACTGATGGAATGAACCTCGTTTTGAATCAGTCGTTCTCCATCTATGGCTAATTCTCATTCAAGTAGGATTTATCCCAGGCTGTACTGGCCAATTACGTGGTTTGCTAGGTGTGCTAAGCATGTTGAGGCATTAGTCTGAAGGCCCTTCTCAAGATATAATTGGCCGTACAGCGCGGGGATAAATCGTTTCGATGGAAACGTGCGGTAGCTCATAACGGAGTGGGGCTGCGGCTGTGTCTTAGGCGCTTAACAACGGCAAGTCATGGGGCCTGGTTTTGATGCCTAATACACCTTGGAACGCACGTTTTGCTCTCTCCTTTTTCATCTAAGAACGCATCATCAACGGTGCTATGTCCAATGTATATGACTAAATGCAAGTTTCTTTATCTGATTTGTCCTCCGCGATGAAATTTTTTGTCTGCTTGAGCAGGGATTCTTAAATGTTCGCAGCATTACAACCCGTCCCCATTCTAGGAACGACCTGGACGGGAATAAGAAACCCAACGCCTCATTAAATGAGGAGATGCACGTGTTGGCATGGAAATCCTGGAGTAAGGCTCTGGAATGGTGTTGGTCCATTTCTTCTGTGAGCCCGACTTCCAGCTGAAAAGAATCCCGCAAGAAATGTCCCCCTTCCTCATTTGCTTCGCAACCCTTCAGGCATTCTGTCGGCGGCGATTGCCTCTCATGCCTACTGTGTTCAGTTCTTAGATCACAAACTACCATGGCGAACACGATCTATAATGGCGCAATTAGCGGAGAAAGCTTCGTGGTCGGGCCTCAGGTCAGTCACGGCGGTATTATGAACATTCACTTCACCACCGGGCATCTCGAGGCTAATGCCAGGCGTTGAGGCTCTGCTGAGCCTTGCGACCCTGACCCTGGACTGTGGGCGATGTCCGTGTGACATCAGCTCCCCCTTCTTCAAAGCTCACCCCGAGCCGAACATGCGTCAGCTTTTGTCGATAGGATTCCGTGGAGGGGTCAGTTCGTTGGGACGTTGGGGTCTCCTGGTTTGTTTGGGTGCCTGGTGTGGAAGGCAATGACTTCTGCTTTTGCTTCATCAGTGAAGAAACGGGATCCAAGCAACCATTCAAGTCCATCTTGTACAATTCCCTTATGCTAGGTCATCTTCGGCAAGAATAGATAGAGCCCCCCGTTCCAGCCATGGCACTGTCATCAGCATCGTCTACATACTCAAAAGCAATGGACTGTACAATCGTATGTTCCACCGAGGTGCTGACTTCGTTGTATCGTTTCAGTTTACTAAAATGTACTCTTCGTAGATGTGCAGCGGCGTTATAGTATGCCCCGTATTGCTTTTTGTTCGAACATTGCCTGCAATCTGCGAGCAATTTTGTTGGCCGTACGGAGTCCGGAATGCTGTCAAGATCTGGTTCACTGCAAGCCCATTTAATCTTGCGACGGTGTATCGCTACCATATGGCTGCCCAGGTCCTTTACGGAGCTGAACCCATTCGGTCGGCGGTCACAATGAGGGCATGGGACCTCGTGAGCTCTGATTTGTCCTCCACTTCCGTAACAACCGAGTTCATGTCCGTCCCACACGGGTTGAAGTCAGTGAGCCTAGTGGTAGCCTTGCCTTTTCTTTCATTGGCAGTTGTGGGTGGCAGCACGAGTAATGATAATTCCTCTAAATGTTTGGCCAGATGATTACCAAACGCCTGAGGTGTCAGTTCCCAATCACTCGGCTTTGATCTGCTTCGTCGTTGTAGAGTTCCTTTGTAATCACATAGGGGGCAAGCCTCAGCACCGATCTATACGTCTTGCTCTCTCTATTTCCATCTAAGAAACGTATCTTAGACATTAGAAACGGCGCTATATCCAATCTATATAATTAAATGGAGGTTTGTTTATCAACTCTGTCCTCCGTGACGAAATGATTCGTCGGCTTGAGAAGGGATCCTTCTAGCATGTCTAAAAAGGGAAACATTTTGGCCGTTTGCGGCATCTGATTGGTTCGACGATGTACGCTTGGCATATGACCACTCAAGGGTCGCCTGGCATCCTGGCATCCCAAGAGTTTACTAGAAAGGGTTCACAAAGGATCGAGAGTATTATGATTTGTAAATGTAAATGATGATGTATCGAAGGAGGACAGCAAGGTAAAGATTGCCAAGGTACCTTCATCGTTTGGCCAAACGATACAACCAAATAAGAATCCGAGCAGCAAGGGAGTTACCAGATATAACGACGACAAGGCAGGGTGGAGCTGTTGTTCGTTCCTGATCCCAACCTTCTTCTTCAAAGCAAGCCGATCATCTGATTTTTGCTAGACGGCCTAATTAACGTGATTCTGAGTACTACCAGACATCTTCAGAAAACGTCGTTTTGACATCCTCAGACGGCACCCGGACTTCCTATTGTCGAGATTGAGGTTCGATAGTGCCTCATCCGTCTCTTCGATATCCTCGATGAGTTCGTTCTCGCTGCTTAACCTCTCCAGCTTCTCCTAAAGAAGCGCGATGAGGCGTCCAGATGCCCTGTTCATTGCCCTGTTCAGAATCTAGAGGAAATCAGTGTTAGACGGGTGTGACTGTCATGGACTTTCAACTGCTTATTCGGGGACGCATATTCCTACCTCACCAAAATCGCGCCCATCACCTGGTGCCGACTATGTCTCTCCTTGGATTTCCTTGCCATCCGTCATGTCCAGCGAACGCAGATCCGGCGGAGGCGGAGAATTCATCATCTGAGGGGTGACCAACTGTACCGATTGGCGCCAAATTCAGTTGTCCGTTGACAATAGAAGTGAAACGAAAACGTCGAGGATATGGTTTGGGAGAAAACGGTGATATGTGAAGAAGAGATGTGTGAGAAAATGTTCTTAAATACGATACCAAGTGCTTCACAGAACTTGATGGTGGAAGTGCTTCGCAAAACTTGATGATGGCAGGAGTGGTTGTCAATGGGTATATATTCCATGGAAAAACAGATGGCCAATAACACATCCTGGTTTCACCGATTTCCGCCTAAATCGGACTTAGGGCCTGGAGGGGTCGTCGAGCATCGAATGCCCTTGATGCCTTCGGTACCCCGGCGAAGTGGTGACGTTAAACGATCCCTGGCCGCAGCAACAGCCTCTCCCAAACGGGTACCAAGCCTCTGAGCAGAAGCCCAAGATGGTGATACTCCATAAGATAATGACTTGATTGCATTGTTCCTCCTGGCTTACTCCCAATGCAAATTCTCAAACACGGCGCCGCATTGCTGTGTTCGGCTACGTGACGTCTCGTCGCGCAGGTTCCACCAAAGGAGCCTCTGGAGGAAATCCGGACCTATGTCGCACCACCACCACTGCCAAGCAACGGGCTTCATGCAGGCTGCATGCGGGATTCGTGCCAGGCTTCGTGCCGGGCATGGTGCTGGGCTTTATGCTAGGCTTAAATCCACGCTAAACCGAATAAAAATGCAAGGCGGCAAGTCTTGGGCTAACAACGGTGATGTTCTCTTCCCTCCAGATCGTCAACAAGGTCTTGTAAAACGCCGCCCCGCGCATGATGGCGTTGCTTGAGGAAGAGCTGCAGAAGAAGGAGGCCGAGATGGACATGGAGGAATATGATGAGGATATGGATTCGGAATTTGAGGCGAAGCTTTGAAGGTGTTCTACGATACGTTTTTTTGTGGATGAGAGGCTGGGCTCTTCTGCACCGTATTGGACTCAAAAGGCACTCGTCCGTACGAGACCTTATCCTACGTGTGGGGCTCTGAGGATAAGCCTTGTTCCATCTTTATAGACGGGTGCGACTTGGCCGTCGGGAAAAACCTTTACGCAGCGCTGTTACATCTTCGAGATAACTCCATTAAACGAACTATATGGATAGATGCCATTTGATCAACCAAAAAGACGAAGAAGAAAAAGGACACCAAGTTCACTCTATGGCGTAAGATGTTGGTTGTCCGGCCTCCTCTGCGGTCATGAATACACCATCTCTGGGGTCCCTTGTACCGCGCGATCTTGGTCAGACCGGGAATCAGAATCTGGCGGTAGGGCCGGTGCAGCTCGTCCTGCATAGCCAGGTTGATGAGCTCCGGGTCGGGAGGGGATTGGCCGAGGGCGACGGGGAAGAGGGCTATCCTTTGGAGGTTGAAGGTCTGGTGCAAAGAGTCAGTTATGGGCGGCCGGGGTTGTAGGTAGATAGTGAGGGATAGGGAAAGGGGGAAGAAAAGACGTACAACATCCGCACGGGGATACTCGGCGGGAAGAACCTCGCGGGCCTTGGCGGTGGGAACCTCGAACTCGGGGATGATGGCCACGGCTTTGATCTCGGGAGCCCAGGGGAACTTGATGTGGTGACCGATGCCGTGGGGAGGCGAAGGGGGCTTAACGCCGGTGTCGACACCGCCGGCAGCTTCTTGAGCATATCCACCCATGCCGGGTTGTCTAGTACTTTATCCGGCAAGGTATCCTGATACATTTCGGATGGTGGGACCTCCTTGGTCTCCCACTTCCCCAGACTGAACCGAGCCTTATCGATCTTTCAGCCGTGCTCATGGCCACCGTGGGAATACGACACATCTATTAACGCCTTCTCTTACTTTATAGGCTCGAAGCATCACATCCTGCCCAAAGCCCCACTCCATGCTGCAGGCTCTCGCAGATATTGGATGGTTGCGCTGTCGGGAGAGACATGAAGTCGGCTGAAAGTTGCATTGGCGTCGACACAACTTGGAATAGGGATCTGACGACAAGCATCCTGCTGCCTTGTCTGGGTGATCTGGGTTTCTCTCTCCTTTCTTTTTCATTCGGAAGACACCTTCTCCGGCGACTTACCCGGCAATCACCTGTAACCAGCTCGGGGAAGGCTCTCGATTTGGAACGCTGATTGGCCTCAAACTGGTCGTCATCTGTGGTCACTGACAATGACCAGGGTTTATTACGCCCCAAAAAGCCTCTTTTCTGTCTCTCTCCGTCTATTCTTATGCCTCTATCCGCAACCCCCTATCTTCTTCCTCCCTCTTCCTCCCTCTTCCTCCCTCTTCCTCCCTCTTCCTCCCTCTTCCTCCCTCTTCCTCTAACTTGCTCTTCCTCTAACTTGCTCTTCCTCTAACTTGCTCTTCCTCTCTCTATCTTCCCTCATCTATTATCATGGCACCTCGTCAGCTGGCCTGTATGTACAAACTGCGGGATTGAATCAATCAACTGGATTCAATCCCAACCAGGTACCGCAGCCTATTGGAGCATCGTCTGGTTATTGCGTGCAGTGAATTCAAGCGCCAGGACACGAGAGACTGACAGCCTCGCAAAGTCATTCGGCGTTGGTCCCGACTACTCCTTCTCCTCATTTTTACTGCCAATGCTCGCCAAAGCCAGACAATGGCGGCTATCAAAAGCTTATTTCACTGCCTCAGAAAGGCGCAACACATTCTCTTCTCTCTCGTAGGATTGGCGACGTCCTGTAAATCAAGCCTGATGTCAGCGTGCCACATCAACGTTTCGTCTTTCAAGGATCAAATGCAGCTTTGATGCTGCAATGGAGGACATGCCAAAAAGGTAACCAGAGGGTTCACTTCGGGTAGCGTTTGTTTTGATATCAAGGCTTCCAGCCTCGCTTCGAGCCAAGCCCCAATCCACGACTCATACTGTCCTACGCCGTATCCTTGCGCTACTAGATCATTTAGCCGTTGTGTTTTCCGTAGTAGCTGTAGCTACTTCGATGCGCCCAGCAGGGAACCAGGCGCATCCGTCAAAGAGCTCTTCTACAACTCAGCAGCAGCAGCGGCCTGGTGGCTTGTACCAATCATGGGGGTGTCATGGCCCAATCCTGTAGAGTAGATAAGGATGCTGGCTTCGGATCCTTAGAGCTGTGGTTGGCTTGCCGCTCTCAACGCCGCCGTCACCCTGTTTCGCAGCCCTGGCATGCAGCTCTCTCAGCCAATCGACTCGTCTACTGACCGAGTGCAATCTTGGCAGTGTCAGGACGGTCAACTTTTCTCGTAATCCGCCCAATTATATTCATCTTTTTAGCGCCGCCCCCACTTACCGTCTTGCCTCCGTCCGAACGATATGGATATGGGAGCTGGTGGTTCAGTTTTTTGACCCTACCACGTGATTAAAAGACCCGTTTCCTGTCCTTCCCGCTCTCATAGATAAGCAGACATATCGGAAGCTTGTCTATGGGAGGAATTTTTTGTAGTTTTTAACAGGGGTTTGGATGACTCAGCCAAAAACGCCGCCGCCGTTTCTAGAACCGTTTTCATTGCCTTCGCCATCGAGTGTACCGTTCCACTTACGCCAAGCCCAGCTGAGTGGGCTAGGCATACACTACACAAGGTGCTTACCCCTGCCATTTACCCCTGACACCTATTCCATATACTTAGTACATCTAACTGGAATGTGCTTTTGGCTTTTGGTACATCTAAGTGGGAGGTGTGGTTGGCTTTTGGGAGGTGTGGTTGGCTTTGGTGAACACTTTTCTCCGTACGTATATCCCTTCAAGCGAGTCAGAAGGGCCTCAAGATATAAATTGCGTCTTTACTCTCAGATTCCCGACTGAACCAAGCAAACTTCTGTCCCATTCTAATTGCATTCATTGTTTATCAATTCTTCCCAGTTGATTCTACCGCATGAATTACGGCCCCTACGTTGCGAGGGTTGCGTTGGTTTTCATATGAAACCCTCCTTCCGAGTTTTCTAATCGATTTCTCCTCCCAAACATGCTGAGCTCGTAAGCCATTGCAGCTTGAGAGGGCATTGTTTGAGTCTCACGGTGCCGATCGCACTCCATCCATATGCAATACGGAAGGGATGGAGCTACGAAAACCGCCGATACCGCCGACTGTACCCAACGTCGAAGAACGGAAAAGAAGAGCATTTGCCGACGTCGACGAATTTACGGTAACAACACATGAGCGTTCGCTTTGTAAGAAGACCAAAGCCGAGCGAGAACGCGCGTGGTGTCTATGAAATAGGTATGTACCTTATTATTTTGCTGTTTTCTTTGATATTGCGTACTAATGCTTTTTAGATTTGTCATAGAAGTGTTACAATTAACACAAAAAGAGGCTGATAAGGTTTGGTTTGGTGTGTGCCAAAATAAGAAAAAGTCCATTGCTATTTGCAAGAGCTTTCTGGCTGACTATACACGCTATGCAAGATGTAGGCGTCTGTATATAGACGGTACCGAGGAATAGAAGGAGGTAGTAATAGTTCAATTAGTAGTGACTATTATTACTTTGTGGAAGCATATAGTAGCTCAAGCCGATGCTATAGTGCTCGCGAAAAGAAGGGATCAAGATTCAAATGAAGATTCAGACGAAGATTCTGAATAATGGATATTGCTTGGCAACCGTGGGAAGGCCCGTGGAGAGGTTATCTAGGTAGATTTCCTCTTTACCTATACTGATATTGTATACTAATATTTCTTCTTACAATAGATCTAATCAATTCTTGTACAAAAGTTTAACCTCTTATACAAATAAATATTTGAGAAAACCGAAGCTACAACAGACGATGTTCTGCTTATTCTTAGTACTTTGTGGGAAAGCGCAGTCGATATACCTTGTGATCCTAGACATCGGCTTGCCTTTCATACATTGGTGCTTATAGGAAGCATTGGCTTTCGGCCCAGCACTTATGAGAACATGCTTTATTGACAAGTTAAGCTACTTGTCGTTCGCGATCCGGATACAAAGCAGCCAAGGCTTGTTGCTGAGATCACGATCAATCAAAACAAGCTATCGGCTAACAAAATTGATAAGGGGGCAGATGTGTATGTATTCTTGCCTTTAACCGTTGATTCAAACTAACACTTTTCTCGTGTGACCTTTTCTGCTACTATGGTACCATGCCAGATCGTTTGTTTAGTTACGTTTGTAGTTATTCAAGCTCTACATGATAATGCCTTCGAAACAGAGTTTTCGTCCTTCGACGAATTACTTCAGCGTCCAAACTTGGAAGATGTTGATTGCATTGAACTTAGGTGGAAGGATGGGATGCTCTTGGACTCGTGGGCACAAGAAGTGTGTTGATTGTCCTAAGCTAGAGAAGAAAGGGAAAAGAAATGTGGAGGGCTAAAATACATGGTGGTGTGGGCTGGCTGGGCCCATGTGACAATGCCAGTGAAGGGGAGTGGGACAGACCCCACTACAACAATTATAGACGGCCTGTCGAACGCAATCTCCCAATACATAGTCGAGACGGCCACATTTACTTCAGCCTCCGAATTGCGAAAACCCACTGAAGAACTCATTAACAATCTCCAAAACATCATATCGAATGCAGAATTAACGCTAAACCTAAGAAACACCGGTGTAATAACACCGATCAACTCGCCCCTTCCACCACTCCAAAGCAACCATCTGGAAACGAATACTTCCCTATCCCCTTTACAGCTTGGAAGTGACTGGATTCTCGAGCTCAAAGAACGATGCCGACCTTCCACAATTTCCATCATCAAGGCCGATATCGAAAAAACCAGGATTGACTAGCTTGGGCTAGCATCACGTGCTGATCCCCCGCCTGGGCATAATCAATACGCAATCTATTATGTTAAGGACCCTCATACTACAGGAATTACCTACCTCTACCTTTCAAAATCGAAAAAAATTACACCATATCGATTTCACAAACAACAAGAAATTGCAATCTCCATCGTCTAAGGAGGCTGCTATAGATTTTACGAAATCTACTACCACTACTCCCTCCAGCGGGGACCGTATCTACTACGTTGGACCTGTCAATGATAAGAAACTTCGAAAATTCTTCCCGTCCGGGAAACTCTTTCGGGAATACGGCCCAATCGATGGGGTTAGTACCCCATATATCCATATAGGCGAAGCAAAATCAGGCACAGCTTTCCACTGCGAAGACGCCCACTTACGTTCTTACAACCTCACCATCTATGGATACAAAATCTGGATTCTGGTCGATCCCAAAGACACAACAAAGTTCGAAGAGTATTTTGACACCCGCTACACCGATCGCAAGAAATCGAAATGTGATCAAAGGGTTCGACACCAATGTTGTATACTCGCCCCTAGCCTTCTGGTTAGCCTAGGAATCAATTTCGACATTGGACGGGTCCTGGGGATCTGATTGTCACAGAACCACGACAATACCACGCGGTCATCAATTTTACCGATTCTCTTGCTGTTTCAACGAATTTTGTTTACGAAGACGATATACCGATCAGACCGAACTGGCTTGTTTGCCCGAAGGATGGGTTGTTTCTACTCGATGAACCAAATCTTCGAAAATTTAAACAATCACCTAAACCCAAGAGGAAAGCCGAGGTCGAATTAGTAAGGTCTGAAAAAGCGAAACGGATCAGACGTCTCCTAGAAAGCAAGAATGGCGATAGGATGGATGTTGATAACGAAGACACTCAAAGGCTCGAACAACGTCTGATGATAGCAAACCACCAAAGGATTCCAAATATAAGGTAAGATGCCTAGACGATACTATCACATACGACCATACCCACTGGAAAACTCGGGATCCCGTCCGCTCTCCCATAGATAAGCCAGTGAGGGCCAGACTAGTAGTTGGGTCGGTGACGACCAGCGAATCCCTGGTGTTGTATGTTTTTTTTTTCTTTTCTCCCGTCTCTTTTCCATCACATCATCATTTCCCCGGTTGAACCTAATTTCTTTCTTGTTTTCTCCTGTCAATGTTTCCTTTCAAGTGTGTTTTTTTTTTTTTTTTTTCCCCAAATTCCCCAACATTCATCCAACTAGACATCGTTGCCGGCGGAGTGTCAACAGCGTTCCTTCCGGTAACAGTAATAAGGGACCGGCGGCAAAGTGCAGCTGCTCGCCAGCCACTAATCAGGGAGATTTTCTATCCCTGACGAATACTCCAGTGTTTATTCACATTGCATACCACCAGGGGCTGCATCCAACAATTTGCTGTGTCGCTTGTTCATGCTCTCAATCCATACGCCCAGATGAAACAGTCGGGTATGCAGCATGAACAGGAGAGGAGAGCAAATCACCGAGTTCGGTCGCTAGACTGGAAGTTAGAAAGTCATGTGTCGTATAGATAGGTAACACCCCGTGATATCGAGAACCGGATCTCGCAACAGCCATGTGAACAGTTGCTTCATCTTGATCGAGGATCCTGCTTGGCTTCGCCACCAAGCCAGCACAAGTATGGCAGGGGATTTGTTGAATCCATCGATCTCCGATTGAGCCCCCAAACTTGTTGACATGCCACAACCTACACCTTAATTTGTCGAATGTCAAGAGTCGAGGCGACATGCAACTCCTACCTAAGAGCAACAAGCTCCCTTCTCAGCCTACTTCTTCGCCACGCCTGCGCGTCAATCTGCCAAATATTGACCCTGTACACGATTCCTTCCCGCCTCTCGACCTGGAGAACAAGACAAATGTAGGTGAAACGACGGAGGGCGATGAACTCGGCTCGCTGATTGTTGTTGCTGGTGCTCGTGCTGGTGCCCTTGGCATCCCTTGCTGATGAGCTGTCCCGACCAAAGTCGTCCTCCTCATCTGCATCATCGTCAACTGCCCCAACTGCCCCTGGTAACGGTCCCACATCCCCACAGTATTCGCCCTTCTCGTCGTAGATTGGTCTACCGCGATCTGAGGAATGGTTCGACTTTGATAGAGGTGAGAGAAAGAAGTGGGCGGTTTCGGCCCAGAAGAAGAGGATTTGATCGTCGGGGATGAGGGAGAGGCGGTCGAAGGTAAGGTCTGGTAATTCTGTGACGATCATGTCGAGGGTTACTAGCGATGCGTCTGGATCGTCGTTTTGTTTGTGGCTGGTTGGTGCATGTGTATCTGCCTCTGGTGTGAGAGTTGACGTCCTGACGAGCTCGAGAGGCGTGTTTTTGAGTACATAGGCGACGATGGGCGTCTCGATATCTTCGGGCCTTGTGTTTTGACTGTCAGCTCTGCAAGATACAAACCTTCTGAATGGGTGTGAGTGGTTGTTTATGATATACCTTGGTGAAACCAACACTTGGGAATAATCCAAATCCGGCAAATCAATCGGCCCTCTCCACCCCAGCCACGACCAGCTCGGGAACGCCTCTGCTGCAAAGAGGTAGTGGGCAAGGTCGTATACTCCTGGCGCCGTCTAAGCGGTTTCCCTGCATGCGGATCTAATTCGGAGGGCTTGGTGGTGTAATGCCAACACAAAGCAAGCTCAAAGCGAGCATCAGCAGGTAGACCCCATAGGAACTGTACGCCCGTTTGGATGGTGTACTCTCTGAGGATGGCGGAGGCGGCGTCGTGGGCATCTCCTTGTACGATAAGATCCCGACGTGCAAATTCGGATATCAAGGAGGATAAGTTTTGCCATGGGGATGCTGTGATCTCTGCTTGACCGATGCGTGATGGGTTGGGTTCCATAAAGGGGTCGAGGTCGAGGCTGCGACCTCCAGTTCCCTCGTATCGGAGAGAGCAAGATAAGTCGCTGGCAGTTTCTGTGTCAATCTCCTCCCACTTTTTGCACTGTCGACATCTCCATAGCAATCGCTTGTCGGTGAAGGTGAGGACGCGTCGGGACAAGACTTTTTCTTGCAGTGTCCATCCACGGGTAGACCAAGCATACTCTCTCATCTTGTCCCGCGGTGCTAGTGTCGAAATGAGCCATATGGGCGCCAGTTCTGGACTCTCTGCTTTCTTCACCAACACTTTTTGTTGAACGGCTTCCCTGGGTATGCTGATGCCTGGAAGTCCTGCTTGTGCGTTGTTGCCAGCAGCAGCCACGATTGTGAAGAGGGCATACTGATAGATCTCAGCCATAAGCTGGAGCTGGGCGGCTTTGTCATTTTCGTCGTCCTGGATGATGCAGAAAGCGTCCACCCAGAGGTAGCGGATGCCCATGTCAGAGGTAAATTTGATCGCATCCAAGACTGTCTGCGGTCCAGCTACTGGTAATGAACCAGTCAACTGTAGCTGCGTGACAGTGTCATGCCTCGGGGTAATTTTGTGCCCGTTACCCCATATACAGCTTAGAGCTACGTACTGGATATCCCCAAGACGATGGCCTCTGAACTCAACAACTGCTTTGGTGCTCGTATCGATAAGGCGAAAGGTAGAAGCCGTTCTGTTTTGCCTCCTATTCAGAGGACAAATATCCTTGTGGTCTTCCAAACAGCTACGTAGCCACCGCCGCGGCAGGTCTGGGTCAATGATGACCGGTCTCTCGCGCCCACTGAAGAGGCTACGAGGTCTGTTGATGCTGGTGTCTCCGATAATCTCATCCTCTGCCGGATCCAGAGTCTGAAAGCAGTCGAATAGAGTGAGACTCGGCTGTCACGTAACAGCAGTCACTGGTGCGTTCCACGTCAAGGATATCCTTCCGAAGAAAACCAAGAGTGCAACGGGGTAAGACTGTCCAGATCGCAGCCCTTTTGCTGTTAACCATCCTAATATCTTGTCGTTACCAGCGGATTTCGGTACCTCGATCGCAGGTCCATCCACCGGGTCGCAATAAATGCTCAACGAGCAATCTGGGTCACCCTCGAAGAACTCATGATGGGGTGTATAGAGTCCCGCAGTTCTGACCAAGCTTGAGATAGCTTGACACAAGGGACAGCTGGCTGCGGAACTGTCGATGCGACTTTGCTTTCCGAGCTTTTGGTCTCGTGTCACACGGACATCCGCCGGCGACATTCATTAACACCCTAGGGTTAGGGTATTGAGGCTTTGTGACCTCAAGCAACAAGGCTCAGCCTCGCCCAGTCCAACCCCTTGTCATCAGCATCACATAACCGAACCCTTTTGACAACGCCACCTGGGTATCGAGCCAACCCTCGAACTCCCGACTGAAACTACCGACAGCACCAAGCCCCCTCACAAAGCAACCATAGCCAACCAAGCAGAAGCAGGGCGACCGGACGAAGGACGGCCCCCAGAAGGAAGAAGGAGAATGGTGGAAAACATTCAGAAGGTCCACTTGTATGCAGATGAACTAGATAGACTCGCACCGATGCCTTGTGGCCTTAGGCACACGAGACCCGGTACGTACCGACCTTCTTTGGTATAAGAAGGCCTTGAAGCCCGAACCTCCCCATAAGGGTTGAAAGGGTCAACAAGGCCTTCGAGACCAAAGAAGTTTATCAGCTGAAATTGAACATCTTTGTTCCAAGCCCAAAAAAAACTCTGCTCTTGTCACAGATAACTATTTTAATACGTCCAACGTTGGTACGTAGGTAGCGATTAGTATTAAACAATATATAGGTAATATGGACTGCTTTCGCCTCAAAGAACAACTGATGGAGGCTGGAAGGCGACAACGAAAAGGGCTTGATTGTAGTTGTCTAACGGAAGAGGAGAAACGGAAACCAGGGCAGCCTAAATACCTGGAAGGGAGTGCCGGTAATGGAACGGCCCAGTGAATGGGCAAAGCCGGTGAATGGGCGGCCCAGGGCACGGACTTCCAACAAGTTGTCATTGTCGTCGTCAGCGGCGCCAACAGAGGCGCTGTCATCTATATGTCTCTAGGATTGTGGAAGGAACAATGGTCAGGAACAAACTGTTTAAATGATATCGAACAACCCTAACTCCTTGTCCTGCTCCTCGTCCTGCTCTGGGGTCTCGGGAGGTTGACGCGGACAAGCATATCCGGTCCATGGACATGGAGACGGGTACTGGGTGCTGGGGACAAATCTATCCGTATCTAATCTACCGTCGTCCACTTACACCCACTTAACATAAATTCCATCCTTGCGGTTGTTACGGCACTGGCGGACAGGGTCTGGGATGGCCAGCACTGGAACTGCTGCGTGCACGTGGAGGATCCACCGCACTGGCCGCACAAGGCTCTGGGTTAAAACCCCAGACCCTGCCCACACCTTTGCACGTTTTTCTCTTTTCTTCAATATCTTGTGATTCTAGTATAGACCTGGAATCAACATGTTAAACTTGTCTCTCGTGACCACGTCGCTCGTGACAGCGGTGTTGGTACAGGTGCTAATCAGGGCAGGTTTTGGAGTTCACTATGGAAACCCCATACTACGTTTCAAAAAAGTTTTAGAGCGTGCGGCTTAGCTTACACCGCGAGTGTAACGGCCATGACGAGGCTCGACTGGGATTGGCAGGACTGCGACTTGTGCAGCCTTGTATGATAAGATAAGGATTAGCCAAGTTGGGTATGACTTCTACGCGTCCTGTACCAATATTAGCGGTAACATCCTTTTAGAGGCTACGGGTAGATCCGACCGTCCCATTCAGGCACCAGGATGTGGGGCAGCTCTTGTCGATGTTGTTTTAGACAAACAGAGGGTCTTCTTTAGCGTTCTCTGGCTGCTGGCTTTTCTCGCTTGCAGGCCCTGTCAATGTTTGAGATATAGAGTATAGTTATCAAGCCCGGCATGCTTGTTTTGTGGGGTAACATCCTTTTCTTCGTTGCGGTTGAGGAACCCTAACCCTAGTTCCGGCGAGCCGGAACTAGGGTAAGGGTTCTGACCGCCATATCTAGAAACACAGCTCCCCACAATTACTATCGGCTACATTTCCGCACCTCTCGAAGGATTGATTGATCAAAGAGATGCGAGAAAAGAACCAGCAAACGCCATTTTTCAGCCCGGAACAGGAACCTGTCCCAACTTTTCTCTTGTGCCTACGTATGAAACGAGTTAGAAGGGGAATATTCAGCTGTTATGACAAAGGGACGAGGTTTTATACCTACCTAAGGTACGACAGAACAAAAACTAGCAGAAAAAAATAATAATACAGCTACGGTTGATAAAGCTTATTTTAAACGCGTCCAGCCTTATGAGACTACCCTATATACCATCCTCGGGCTGAATGGGTGTCAGAAACTTAATGAGGTCTTCGTTGGGTAGGTTTTGCAGTTCGCCCAGCTGTCTCCTTTGGAACAATCTTTCTTTGACCAACCTTGCCAGTATCGAGAAGCATCTTAGCGATCGCTTTATAGCCTTTTTGCTCCGCAAGCCACAGCGCCGTCCGTAGCTCCTCCCTCTGCAAGTTGACCTTGCCGGTGTCGAGAAGCAATTTTATTCGTCGTCGTCGATGAGGGAAGATAGAGAAAGGAAGAGCAAGTTAGAGGAAGGAAAAGTGAGGAAGAGGAAGGAAGGTAGACAGAGGTAGAGGAAGGAAGAGGAAGGAAGAGGATATTCATAGGAAGACAGGGGGTTGAAGGCAGGGGAAGAAAGTTGTCCGTCAGCCTTTGTTACGCCAAGATACTTAGCACACATCATGGAAATAGCACGGCAACCTACAATATGGGGACCCTGGACTCATGGATGCTGGGGTGGAGAGGAAGGATATCGAGGCTGGGTTCGGGACTTGGTGCTACAGTGAGCCGGGGGATAGGAAGGCGTGGGGAGATGCCATGATTGAGAGGTTGAGAACGGGACAGATGAGGGGACGGGGAATTGAGTTGGGGTTGACGACGGAGGAAGGCGTGGAGGAGATTGTTAAGGGGTGGGAGGAGTGGATGGAGAGGGGGGATGCGACTTTGGGGATTGTTAATGGGGAGGTTATTGTGAGGAAGGTGGCCTCTTTGCCGAAAGCTACCTAGGAGAAAGAGCGACACATCATGCTACGGGATAACAACTGGAACAAAGGATGTGCGGAGGTTGTCAGGAACAATGGAAAGTGCGTTGGAAGCGGTCAATTCCGATGCATGCCCCTGAAACAGTTCGTAGAAGGAACTACCAATTCGTGGAAGGAACTACCAATTCGTGGAAGGAACTACCAACGGCATTCGATGAGAACAAACACCTGCGGCTAGCGGCAACATGGAAATTTGCCTTGTGCAGCGCACTATACAACCCCGCGTCTAGCATTATCCAACTTCCATCTCCCCTTCTTCTTCCTCTCTTCTTCTTCCTCTCTTCTTCTTCCTCTCTTCTTCTTCCTCTCTTCTTCTTCCTCTCTTCTTCTTCCTCTCTTCTTCTTCCTCTCTTCTTCTTCCTCTCTTCTTCTTCCTCTCTTCTTCTTCCTCTCTTCTTCTTCCTCTCTTCTTCTTCCTCTCTTCTTCTTCCTCTCTTCTTCTTCCTCTCTTCTTCTTCCTCTCTTCTTCTTCCTCTCTTCTTCTTCCTCTCTTCTTCTTCCTCTCTTCTTCTTCCTCTCTTCTTCTTCCTCTCTTCTTCTTCCTCTCTTCTTCTTCCTCTCTTCTTCTTCCTCTCTTCTTCTTCCTCGTCATCTTCTTCCTCGTCATTTCACCCAGCCAACACGCCATGGAGGAATCGTCCGAGATCACCATCACTGGCCCGAGTCCTGACGCGGCAAGGAACTATTCCGTCGACTCCGAAATCTGGGATTTCTTCACCAAGACTTCTGCCAGCCTCGAAGCCTGCGACGCCAAAGCAAGGGAGCTCGTCAGCGGTGGAGAAGTTGTCCCAGTCGACGGAGGAGAGAGAGCGACATTGTCTACTTGAACCCCGCCTGCTAGTACTTGGGCCACTGCGGTATGGCAGACGGATGCCCATAAAACGGCGCATTATATTGGTTGCCGGCGGTGTTGTTATTCGTTTGATACCCTGCGCCCATATTGAAGTTCATAAACCCGCCTCCCGAGTTGTGAAACTGATCCCGTCCCACATACCACCCATCTCCCCGAGTCCCATTCCTCTCATCGGGAAGAGATGACTCTGTCGACGACCCTCCACCTGCCGGTAGCAGCAACAGAAGTTCCTTTGCGTATGCCGCCGCCGTCGCTGCCGCATAGCCCTGCCACTTCTTATTCTTGTGCGAGTCCGCATAGTCGCAGACTCCCCGGATGACCAGACCCTGGTAGTCGCTCATCACGCCCGCAGCTTCCATCTCAAGACAGATGATGTTGTGCCTCGCGTGAAGTTCATTCCTCTTAGCGCTCGACCTGACAACTGCATTTGCTGAGCCGATGTTGCCATAGTGGATATGGGGTTGGTCACTCTTCCGCTCGGCTCTTTTGCCCCGACTCTTGCGCAGCTTTGCTCGCGTCGCGTCACAAAGGCCTTGACAGAATCTTCCCCTGTCCGTATGAAGATAGCTGTCCTCAAAGAGATGATCGTATTCGGCCCCAGGATCCTCATAAGCCTGCCTCGATCGCTCATTCAAGCCTCTGCGCAACTCCTCCAGGTACCGCGGGATCTTACTTCCCACCACCTGCATATGCATGCTTCGCAGATTATTCACCGCAGCGAGCAGAGCAGCAGACGGGTGAAGCGTGTGCTCTTTGACAGTCAATTCTTTCTGGCCCTCCCACGCACCGAACTCATAATGCGTCACACCTCCTCTTCCTTGCTGGGGAACGCCGACGACGACGTCGCCCAAGACAATCTGCTCCTGCAGATCTGGACCGTAGCAGGGCATCCCGCCTGCGATGCCAACCACCAGAACATGTTTGATGTTGCGAAACGAGCGGCGCATGTTGGCAAGGGCCGTGGCGGCTGGTTCGATACCCATGCGCGGACACACAACCATCACGACGAAGTGCGAGCCTATACGTCCTACGTGGTAGAGAACGTCGTCGTCGGGAACTTCCATTGTTGTGGGGTCCTCTAGCATTCCCACCGCAGCGGTGAGTTCCAAGGGCAAGGGGGCGATCCAGCCGACTGTGTACCGAGAAGTGTCGTGGGAGGGATCCATGTGGGCAATTGTTGACATCGAACGTGATTATCCAAAACGAAGAACAACACTGTCTCAGCTTGCAAAGATACACCAAGGACCAGAGAAGGTGCTTTTGGTTTTAACGTCTACTCGGGGTGGTAGAGGCAAGATCCAAGGTGGACAGAGGTAGGCTAAGGCCCAGCTCTGGCACCCTTTGCTCCAAGAGTGAGCATTATGGCTCGGCGTTGTCGGGTTGGTGGCCTCACATACCTCCACCCACCATGATGGGAAATATGGAGGGCATCCAGACCAGACAATCCCCTCTTGGCCAGGTGACCCTTCAAGCCCAAGTGTTTTATCTTCGGTGCGGAGTCGTTCTTTTGAAGCTTCTGATTGGCCGACTTTGCTTAGGACCTCTCTCGAAGTGACGGTGATCCCAGTCTAGGAGAGTGGCGTCTTACTTGCAGTTGTGGGGGCAGGCGTCGCATTCAGCTTTCCCCGAAAGGATATCTTCACACTACCAATGGCACATGCGATTGGTGGCCGACCCACGCCAGACTGGGAATTTGGGCATTAACAGGTAGTGTCCATTGGGCATCTTTGACACCTAGGCTGATCTGGAAGGCCAGGCGTCAACAGCTGATGCCGCAAATGTGCACATTTCGCTAGCACATCCGCCTTCCCACAGCTTTGAGACCGCCTTTGGTTGGGGATGAGTCTTCTGAGCTGCAAACCAAAGTTTGGGGACGCTATACCTTTGAAATTTTTGGTTGGCCAACCAGTTGGACAATATTCATCTCTTCGTTCCGTTCTGTCACCCCCTCGCTTTCTCCCTGAACATTGTAAGACGATCAACTCCTTTAATTCCACACGTTTGATCTTGTAAGCAAGCATTATACACATCCCGAAGCTCAATCCTTGCAACATGAAAAGGTCCTGGTCTTTCTCCAATTCTGGTTCGGGTTTCTCCAACGCCAATACCGGCCCGGGGACTCAGTATAACAACAACGCCGCCGGGCCGCAATACAATAACTACTACTACGGACGTGGGTTTCTATCATGGGTGATGGGCGGTACAGGCACGTGCTAACATTCAATAGCTCCTTACACTGGAACTGATCAAGAGCTCGTTAGCTATGCAATGTCAGAGAAGGACCAGCAATGTCTAAAGCACGTACGCCTTACCGATCCTCGCCACGATAAAACCCGCATCGAACAGACCAAAGGCGGCCTTTTGAAGGACTCATATCATTGGGTCGTGGATAACGCTGACTTTCAGCGATGGCGTGACTACCCGCAGCACCGATTACTATGGATTAAGGGCGACCCCGGCAAAGGGAAGACTATGTTGTTGTGCGGCATTATCGATGAGCTGGATCAAGGCAAAACTGCCGACGTGCGCCATTGCAATGTGGCCTACTTCTTCTGCCAGGCTACCGACTCTCGCATCAACAATGCAGCCGCCGTATTGCGCGGCCTGATCTACCTGCTTAGCGAGCAGCAGCCATCTGTCCTCTCATACGTGCGGAAGGAGTATGACCGTGCAGGCGAGAATCTCTTCAAAGATGCAAATACGTGGGTCGCCCTATCGGAAATTTTCACCAATATTTTAACAGACTCAAGCCTCCGAACGACCTACCTAATCATCGACGCACTGGATGAGTGTGTTGATTGGTCACAGCTTCTCGACTTAATTGCTCAGCAATCATCATCTGGATCTCGAGTCAAGTGGATTGTCTCAAGCCGTAATTGGCCGCAAATTGAGGAACGGTTGGAGAAAGCCGCAGATAAAGTGAAGGTCTCCCTGGAGCTAAATGCGGAATCCGTCGCAGCGGCTGTCAATGCATTTATCCTGCACAAGGTGGATGACCTAGCAGGGCTGAAGAAGTATGATCCAAGGACAAAAAAGACCGTTCAGGACTACCTGTGCTCCAACGCGCAAGATACGTTCCTTTGGGTGGCGCTAGTCTGTCAAGCGCTTGAAAAGGTCCAGAAAGGGTTTACCCTAAAAAAGCTACGCATGTTTCCATCTGGGCTGGACGCTCTATATGCGCGGATGAGAGAGGATATGAGCCAGTTCGATGAATCCGATCTTTGCAAGCACCTTCTTGCTATTGTTACAATTGTTCGCCGGCCAATCAGCCTTGAAGAACTAACCACTCTCGCCGACGAGCTTGATAACACTTACGACGATTCCGAGTCATTAGAAACAACTATAGGGCTTTGTGGTTCATTTCTAACACTACGAGAACGAACCATCTATTTTGTCCATCAATCAGCTAAGGACTTTTTACTTGGCAATGCCTCTGATAAAGCTGGCAACCAAGCTTCTCAGGAGGCGTTCAAGTGGATTTTTCCTTCTGGGAAAGAACATGTGAACTATACCATCTTCTCGAGGTCACTTGATGCCATGTCTACAACACTGCGACGCGACATATACGACTTAAGCGCACCGGGATTTCCGAGCGACAAGGTCCAAGTATCGGATCCGGACCCGCTAGCGACGGTGCGGTACTCGTGCGTCTACTGGGTTGATCACTTGTGTGACTCGGTTTCTGGCACGAACACAAAACAGCATGATCGTTTACAGGATAATGAGGTTGTCTATACATTCCTCAAGACGAAGTACCTTTACTGGCTTGAAGCTCTAAGTCTACTCCGAGCTATGTCAGAGGGCGTCATTGCTATTAGAAAACTCGAGGGCCTACTAGTAAGTATAAGTCTAACTCCGCCCTAGGAACTTGGTCTAACTAAAGATATAGGGAGGTAATGATCAGTCGCAGTTATCAAAGCTTGTTTGGGATGCTTACCGGTTTGCTCTGTCTTATAAGTCAATAATAGAGCAAGCTCCACTTCAAGCATACATATCAGCGCTTGTATTTGCTCCAAGCGGTAGCTTGATAAAGAGGAATTTCAGGGCAGAAGAACCTGAATGGATTCGAACTAAGCCGGCTGTAGAATTGGATTGGAATGCATGCCTCCAGACCCTAGAAGGCCATAGCGGCGTCGTTACCTCGGTAGCATTCTCGCCTGATGGCCAGCGGCTTGCGTCCAGTTCGGAGGACAAAATGATCAAGATCTGGGATCCGGCGTCGGGGAGCTGCCTCGAGACCCTAAAAGGCCATAGCGGCCCCGTTTGGTCAGTGGCATTCTCGCTTGATGGCCAGCGGCTTGCGTCCAGTTCGGAGGACAAAATGATCAAGATCTGGGATCCGGCGTCGGGGAGCTGCCTCCAGACCCTAGAAGGCCATAGCCGCTACGTTTACTCACTGGCATTCTCGCCTGATGGCCAGCGGCTTGCGTCCGGTTCGGACGACAAAACGATCAAGATCTGGGATCCGGCGTCGGGGAGCTGCCTCCAGACCCTAGAAGGCCATAGCGGCCCCCCCGTTAGCTCAGTGGCATTCTCGCCTGATGGCCAACGGCTTGCGTCCGGTTCGTGGGACAAAACGATCAAGATCTGGGATCTGGCATCGGGGAGCTGCCTCCAGACCCTAGAAGGCCATAGCGACTTCGTTGTCTCAGTGGTATTCTCGCCTGGTGGCCAGCGGCTTGCGTCCGGTTCGGGGGACAAAACGATCAAGATCTGGGATCCGGCATCGGGGAGCTGCCTCCAGACCCTAGAAGGCCATAGCAGCTACGTTCGCTCAGTGGCATTCTCGCCTGATGGCCAGCGGCTTGCGTCCGGTTCGGACGACAAAACGATCAAGATCTGGGATCCGGCGTCGGGGAGCTGCCTCCAGACCCTAGAAGGCCATAGCGGCCCCGTTTGGTCAGTGGCATTCTCGCTTGATGGCCAGCGGCTTGCGTCCTGTTCGGTGGATAAGACGATCAAGATCTGGGATCCGGCGTCGGGGAGCTGCCTCCAGACCCTAAAAGGCCATAGCCGCTACGTTTACTCACTGGCATTCTCGCCTGATGGCCAGCGGCTTGCGTCCGGTTCGGACGACAAAACGATCAAGATCTGGGATGCGGCGTCGGGGAGCTGTCTCCAAACCTTGGAAGGCCATAGCGGCCCCGTTTGCTCAGTAGCATTTTCGCCCGATGGCCAGCGGCTCGCATCCGGTTCGTGGGACGACACAATCAAGATCTGGGATCCGGCGTCGGGGAGCTGCCTCCAGACCCTAAAAGGCCATAGCCGCTACGTTTGCTCAGTGGCCTTCTCGCCTGATGGCCAGCGGCTCGCATCCGGTGCGGACGATGACACTATCAAGATCTGGGATGCGGCGTCGGGGAGCTGTCTCCAAACCTTGGAAGGCCATAGCGGCCCCGTTTGCTCAGTAGCATTTTCGCCTGATGGCCAGCGGCTTGCGTCCGGTTCGGACGACAAAACGATCAAGATCTGGGATCCGGCGTCGGGGAGCTGCCTCCAGACCCTAGAAGGCCATAACTACTCCGTTAACTCAGTGGCCTTCTCGCCTGATGGCCAGCGGCTTGCGTCCTGTTCGGGGGATAAGACGATCAAGATCTGGGATCCGGCGTCGGGGAGCTGCCTCCAAACGATTATTACTAGTACTATGATGACCTATATATCGTTTGACGATACTAATCGCTACCTACGTACCAACGTTGGACGTATTAAAATAGTTACAGAAACTACCGAAAGCCAAGTTGTACTAGATAATCCAGAGAGCCATGGCTATGGCTTGGGACAAGATGGGTCTTGGATTACTTGCAACGGCCAGAACGTACTCTGGCTGCCATCGAATTACCGACCGTCTGTTCTTGACCTCCAGGAACGGATGATATCCATGGGCAGCACATCGGGACTGGTTTGGTTTATTGGCTTCTCGCAAGACACATAATGTATTCCATGTCTTTCTCAATTCCTTTCTCTCTATTTCATTTTTCTAGCATGCCACCAGAAGGGTCTGGGAGGATAGGCAAATTTATAGGAATCTTGTAAATTCTAGTAACTTCTTTTGACGTCAAGATGACTTATTCTATTACGAAGAAGCAAGACTATTCCATCCATTGACTCTCCTTTTGCTTGTGCCTGTGCGGTCCAGATGCCACGGGATTAACCCGTGACTGCCCAGTCATAGCCAAGGTTGGTACAATGGTAGAAGCCTCGATTCTCCTCGATCGGATAAGTAGTCTCTTCCTTGGTAGTGCTTGGGTGAGCCAACACACTTGCAGTAGCTTCGTCGCAGCTACATAGTCTTGGTTTAGATGCAGGGAATCGCAGCTTAACCTGTGGCTTTATACTACTGACTAGGTGTTGAAGGTACTCAAGACTTTCCTTCACACTAGTAATTTCGCTTGTATGAGCGATGAAATGATACTCCTCTTTCTGGATCAACCATGCTGGATGATGAGAAGAAGCTCACAGTTTTGTGAATGGTTATCACTCCATTGCGGCATTTCCAACTCAGAATTCCACCTGCGGCTTTGAACTTGGTTGTGATAACCCGGAATAGGGCAACGAGTTCTACAACTTTACGCCTCTACCGCTGAAGGATGAAGACGAAGATTTGAAAAGGCTAATACCAAGATAGAGGAGCTCCAACCCATTGGCAGGTAGCTCCGTCCTCGCAAGGTCCCTGGTCAAAGTACAATCAATGGAAAATGTCACGAGGCGCAGGCAAGCACTAAGATAGGACTTTGATTGTTGTGCGAGGAACAGGCTCAGGATTGTTCTAGCTTAGGATCGTTCTGGCTCAGGATCGCTCTACCTCAGGATCGTTCTGGCTCAGGATCGGTCTACCTCAGTATCCTTGTAGCTCAGGATTGTTCTAGTTTCTTGGACCGTTCTAGCTTAGGATCGCTCTGGCTCAGGATCGTTCTGGCTCAGGATCGCTCTGGCTCAGGATCGCTCTGGCTCAGGCTCGCTCTAGCTTAGAATTCTTCTACCCTAGGATCGTTCTAGTATTTGGGATCGTTTTCGTATTTGGAATCGTTCTAGTATAGAATTGTTCTAGTGGTAACATTGTCGTGTCTGGCCCAAGAGTGCAGCACGATGCCAACTGAACCTTCCCATCAACCTACCAGGGCCGGAGGTCCGGCGACCAACTCCTGTCAAGCCTCTCCCACGGCCGCATCCACTCCAGCTTCTGGTCCCCCATTGCCTAGAACGATTCGTGGCCCGGCTTTCTACCAACCACGACAATTTTACAACGTTGCCGGTATCAACAACCCGTGGCCACCACAAAGTCGCTTCACACCACGGATGTCGTCATCGATCGAGCTTCCTCCAGCCGAGCCTGTACAGCCTAGCAGTCTTCTCGGGAAAGTTAGGGTGGACTTTGTAATAGACAAGCCACTCGACAACGTCACGGAATTGTTCCTTGAGTGGTTGTATGCGTGTCTAGTAAATCGAGTGGGATATTGATCTTATCGGGTGCGCCAATAGGAACGTCGGAATCGTCTTCGGCGATAAAATCCTATATCTCTTCGTCTTCGTAGGCCGTGCGAGCGCCGGAGCTTTTCGGTCCAGTTGCTCGGTCGACTGTTTGGCAGACCTTTGCAAGTCTGACACTTGAGGTCCTCCGCCACCAAGCAAACAGAAGGTGGCGGTGTCAAAAAGCGGTAACAGAGAATTGAATCTGACAATCCTGCCTGCTCGAAGCAGAGTACGTAAGTGACTTAACACCGATGGAAACTGCTAGAATTTCTCCTATAAAATAATCTATCCTCCCTGACCCTTCTGGTGTCAAGCTAGGAAAAAGAAATATATAGGGTGAAAGAAAGAGACTTCAAGGATATTAACGTCAAACCAATCGTGAAAAGCTAATAGTGAAAACTCGTCCCGATGTACAGCCGACGGATACCATCAGCTCTTGGACGGCGGAACACCATGGGCGGTATTCTGGTGGTAACCAGAGTGCATTTTTGCCATTGCAGGTAATCCACGACTCATCCTGTCCTACGCCGTATCCTTGCGCTACTAGATCATTTAGCCGAATTGCGTTTTCCGTAGTAGCTGTAGCTACTTCGATGCGCCCAGCATCGGTGATAAGGTAACGGCCCGTAGGATCAAACAATGCATGCGCTACTCGTATACCGACATCAATAGTTACAAAGCATTGCCCTGACGCGGAATTCCAGATCTTGATCGTGTGATCGTAAGAGCCCGATGCGAGGCGCTGGCCATCCGGCGAGAACGTAACCGACCCAACCAAGCTACCATGGCCTTCTAATGTCTGTAGGCATTGCCCTGACGCGGGATCCCAGATCTTGATCGTGTCATCGTTAGAGCCCGATGCGAGGCGCTGGCCATCCGGCGAGAACGCAACCGACCGAACCGAGTCACCATGGCCTTCTAATGTCTGCAGGCATGCATTCCATTCCACTTCTACAACTGGTTCCGTGCTAATCCAGTCCGGCTGCTCCGTCTTAAAATCTTGTTTTACCAAACTGCCAGTTGGTGCAAACACAAGGGCTGACGTGTACGCTTGAAGAGGGGCTTGCTCTATTATCGAACTGTAGGACAGAGCAAACCGGTGGGCATCTTGTACAAAGGCTGGTAACTGCCCTGGATCGCTGTGGCCCTATTGTCTCTGTTAGTCCGACTTTCCTGTATTTTTTGCTTTTGTACTTACCAGCAGACCCTCGAGCTGTCTTATGGCGATGACACCCTCCGACATGGCTCGGAGTAGGCTGAGAGCTTCAAGCCAGTAAAGGTACTTCTTCGCGAGGAATCCATGGACGGCCTCACCGTCGTGTAGGACAGCGTCCCGGTTCCCATTTGTGCCAGAAACAAATTCAGAAAGGTGGCTGACCCAATAAACGCATGAGTACTGCACTGTGGCCAGTGGGTCTGAAGGTGGCTTTCGAACCTCGTTGATTGGGAATCCGGGTGCCTCTAAGCCATACATGTCGCGTCGCAAGACCGCAGACATCGCATTGAGCGACTTTGAGAATATGATGTGGTCTACATCTTGTGTTCCCAGGGGGAAGACCCAGTTGAAAGCGTTGCGGGAGGCTTGGTGCGCGGCCTTGCCTAGTAGAAAGTCCTTGGCAGATTGGTGGACGAAATAAACAGTCTGGTCTCGAAGAGTCAAAAACGAGCCGCAAAGCCCTATAAGCTCTTCCAGGGACTGCGGATCATCTGAGATATCGTCTGACATCCCGACGAGAGTGGACAGTTCTTGAAGGCTGATGGGTCGGCGAACGATAGAGGAGACGGCAAGAATTTGCCTGCATAGATCCGCATAATCGGACTGAATAATCTGCTCCATCATCCGCGCATACAGGGAATCCAACCCGGGGGGGAATGCCCGTAACTTTGTTAGTGTCTGCCACCTCCGAACGCTCGGGTCCGCAAGTACTTGGCAGACCAAAGCCACCCAGAGAAAAGTCCCATTCGCGTTAGAAGAGAGATAGTCATGTACAACCGTCTGCATTGTGCTGTCGTACTGTTTCCGCCGCGACAGGTGAAGGACTTTGTGGCGGATATATGCACTGACGGCAGTGGTGACGGATTCGGCGTTTAGTTCGAGGCTGAGTCTGGACTGCTGCGCGACGATCGCCAACTGTTCTTCGATCTGCACCCAGTTGCGACTAGATACAAGCCACTTGACACGAGCAGACACAGATGATATCTGGACGATCAACTTGAGAAGCTGCGGTTGGTCTGTCACACATTCGTCCAGAGCATCAATCACCAGATAGGTGACCTTCAAGTTCGGGTCTTCTAGCATCTCGCATAAAACCTTAGACAGGACGATCCATGCCATTGCGTCATCGGAGGGGTATGTGTTCTCCGATAGATGTGAGAGCAGGCGTGGTTGCCGGTGGGCAAGTAGGTAGATTAAGCCTCGTAGCACGGCAGTTGCGTTATTGATGCGCGAGTCGGTAGCTTGGCAGAAGAAATACGCCAAGTTGCCGCCGTCAGCGATAACACGCCGCTCTAGCTCGTCGATGATACCGCATAGCAACATGGTCTTGCCTTTGCCTGGATCTCCCTTGATCCAGAGCAGGCGACTCTCCCGCAGCTGGCGCCATCGGTTGAAGTCGGGGTTGTCGAAGACCCAGCGGTAAGCATCAGCCAGCAGACTACCCTTCGCCAGCTTGATCCGCTCCTTTTCGACGTGCGGGTCACGCGGGTCTGTGGGCCACAATTTTGCCAGACAGAGGTAATCCTCGTGAACCTTGTCCTGCAGCCGCTTCAATGCTTTCTGCCTTCCTTCGCCGTAGAGAACCGGCATGTGCACATCGAAGATGCCGAATAGAGAGTATACCTTATCTTCCTCTTTTTTTGTGTCACGCTTCTCGATCCATCGCATCCGTTCGGCGACGCTGAAATCAGATAGAGGGACACCTTGGAAGGCTTTTTGCGGAATTCCGGTTATATCGTGGATTTCTTGTTCCAGAGACTCCTTATCTCCCAGGCGCTCGCCCTCTTTAGAGAAGAATTCGACGATCGTTGGGGCAATGAGCTCTTGGAGGGTCCATCCTCGGGAAAACCATCTGCTCTCTCGAAAGGCCGGTTGCCAACCGGGGCCGTCGCCGTGCTGATGGGTTGAGACGTCTGCTAGGTACACGTAACATTTCACCGCGCTGCGGTACCAATGGAACATGGAGTTGAGAGCGTGCTGAAGCTCGGCGCTGTCAGACTTGTCGATACAGCATGTGTCGACCCAGAAGAATTTCAACCCATCGCGCCAGGCTTGGTCTCCGCAAAAACGAATCTTAGCGTAGCTTGCTTTGTGCTTGCCTGTACCGTCCGTCATATCTCTGAAGAGGACCTCTTCAGGACCCCATGTGTGTGAAAGTATCGCATACGGTGGAATCTTGTTGTTGGGGAGGTCCTCCGTCAGACGGACCCCGCCGGTATCGTCACGCTCCAGGAGTCGCATTGCAGAGTCCGCCAGGCTCAGCTCCCTCGGCAGCTAATCATACAAATGTTCGATGGTGGGAAAAGGCTCGCAGGCTTCGCGAGCGGACGGCTTATGTTCGCGGGACTGTAGGTACAGTAAATCAGCAGCTGAAACTAGGGGAGTTGCCATAAGTAACTGACAAAATTCGTAGCGTATATCTCGGTGGGTTTGATTGGGAGCCTTGAAGGTGGTTGCTGTTGTTGTCTTTGTTTCAAGGCGCTGCCTTTGCCTGGATCACCAACCCCGCACGCTGCGCATTTTGTCTGCGTTGGCACCTGGAGAACAGGAGCCAACCGCGCATAATTCGAAGCATCGTCATTGGCGGTGTTAATCGTGCGACACTCAGTCACAGCCTTGCCGGAGGTAAGGTGGGAATTCGAAATCTTATTTTTACGAAGTCTACGAGCAATTCTTTTTTTTTTTTTTTTTTTTTTTTTTAAAAAATATTTGTCTCAAACTAATGGTTCACCCTTATATTTTGAATATACAAAACCAAACCTTATTTATAGAAAACCTTCTTTATTTCTTCTAACTCCTCGTTATCTATGTCCACTTTTTTGTGACGAACGGCAGTCTGATCTGCCCAAGTGGGATAGCTGAAGGATGATACTATCAGAAGACGTTCGGTGAAGCCAAAAGGTTCACAACAAGTATAGTAGCGTTATACTAGTCTCAGTGATGGTGATCTATTGACTACTGTCGAACTATCTGACAATCTGAGTTCTCCAGTTGTCCCTTTATACTCTGGTGTCTCTAGCTACATGCGTCTGGCTCATCGACCGTGGGCTGTCTCGTGAGCCCCGAACTGGCTCGTGAGCCCCCAACTGGCTCATAAGCCCTCAGGCGTCTCATAAGCTTCTTTCCGGCTCATGAGCTCTTGAACCGTCTCATGAGCCTGTCTTGGCAGTTATGAGCCCTCCTTGCTCTGACCCTGGCTCTTACTCCTACGGTGGTTACACTGCCCAGCCTTCACGTGGCTGTTGTGCTCCCAGTGGCTTGGTTGGCCCGTGTCATCGCTTAAAGTTTGTAACATTTTTCCAGTAATTCTTGAAACTCTTTTTTCGTAATATAGTTGTTGTCAGTAGCAATAGTTTTACTTTTTTAGCGTTTGCGTCTGGCTTTAAAGGTGGTGTAACCTTTGCCTGACTATAGTAAGCCTGAATGTCGGCGGCAGCGACTTGTTTATCCTTAAACCTTATCCATTCACTTCGCGTAGTGATTATCAACTCGCCCTTAACTCCTACAAATATTCACTGATTTAGCGTACGACCCCTTACATTCTGAAGAAGAAGCAGGAATCGCGGAGGAAAAGCGCCAGTGTCTAAATTCTATCTTCACATGGACCAATATTGAGTCAATGTTTCTAAGGCAAGTATTTGGTTTATTTCAAGCGCCCGATATGGTACATAGATACATTTAATTACACCCTATCGTAATAATATTAATATTGAAAGAATCTTCCTGTAGTTTGCTACCTTCGCCCTTCTCAAAAGAACTAGAACTAGAAGTGATACACACTATTGAGTCATAGACTCTAAGACATCCAAGGCATCCGTTCTAGATTCAAGAAAATTTTCACCTGTTGGTGATATCTAATACATATGACACCGTGAGATATACAGTATCGTTAAGTCATCCTTGTATAACTAGGCCATCATTTTGAGATGCTACGTTTCTTTCCAACCGTATACTATCCAATTATTCTACAACAGACCCACTTTCTCTGGGGTGCACTAAACTAAATTAGCGTTCCGTTCCCTCGGGACACTTGAACCAAGCGGCTAGTAATTCAGTGCGAACGCAGCACCAATGATCACTCCAGCATGCGGAAGATTTTTTACTGCCCTTGAAAAAACTGGTTGTGGTGAGACTGTTGGCATGCTTGATCGTTCGTTGGATAAAGACAAGGAGGTTTGCTACAGGTGTGATGCGAGCGCTGTACTCGAAATCTCTGTAGTGCTTAGTAAAGAGGGATAACAATCGGATGTTGACGTAAGAGCTGAGGTTGTGTGAGTTCTAGATGGGATTAACGTAAACGAGCTATTCCAGAGGTGGGAGACGAGTGTTGTAATCGGAAGTTTAGTATTGTTTAATGAGACGGAGTCGTTCGGTGAAGAGGGAATTGTTGTAATAGGTGAGGTTATGCTTGTTTTACACAAAGTGGATACTGATGAAATAGTCGTCAGTTGGCTTGTTCCTAGTTTATCTATCGTAGATGTTTTAGAAGATAAACCTAGGGAGCTACGGGTACTAGCTAATGTAGATGACTCTATGGTATCCGATAAAACATTAAGACAGCGAACAGTCCCATTTTGAACGGGTATGGTTTTCATAGCGTCACCAGTTGTAACTTCAGCGATATGACAGTTTTCAATAGATGCGCCACATTGCCTAACTTAGGTTAGTTTATGTTAAAGGGATCGAAGACTTGAGAGAGATACCAAAAGACAAGCGCATCGCCACTTGGAAGAGTTGGTACAATGAATTCAAATACTGATAGTTGCGGGCAATTGGGATATTCGAAAGGGATTACGTATTCGACGTCGGCAGCAAGTATAGTAGCTTCGCATAGCGACTTTGTATTTCCACTTTCAAAAGTTAGTTAAATACTTTACGAGGAGCTTGTGCGTTGAATTTACATAGCACGAATAGGGAATCTAGGGGTTAATTGTAATGGAGGTTCTACAATACAAAGGCTATTTATAGAAGCGCCAACAGCGACGTAACGAAGAGAAATTGCCACAGCATACTGATTGGATAGAACATAGTAGTGGTAATGAGAGGGGTTGAAGAAGAAACTAAGTATACAGCATAAATCAAAAGAGAGAAGGGGTATATATAGTTGTCTTTGACGATAGAAGCTGGTTTTTAGATTTAAACTTTATGTTTTACTCATTGTATTAGCCCATCGTATGTTCTCTCCATTCGAACACTAGCACTATGGATAACCCTGCAGATCTACAAATGTTCGAGGATTTAAATCCTGAAGCTTTCTTACTTCCTCCACCACCACAATCAACGTGGTTGCCAACACTGTTCGATCCAATTGATTCGGCGTGTCCACATTGCAAAAGGTATTTCTTCCTACTATATTATATTACCTTACATCAACTAACAAACATAGACATTTTGACAACATCGTTGTCAAACTTGAGACTTTAATATTAGAATTAATCAGAAGCGCAAGAATCGAACGTCGTTTGGAAAAAATGGATAGGGATCAGGAAAGAGATAAACGGTTGGAGGTTCTTAAAAACGACATAATGAGGATCTCTAAGATATCCGAAACGGCATTGGAATCTATAAATACCGTAGCTTCTAGTTTGGAGAGCGTTTCTGTCAACGTTACAGAGCTTTTAAAAAATACAGCGTAAATTGATAGACGATGAGTCTAAGTAAACGCCTCCCATCACTACCAAAGACAAACATAAATCGTAATAAAAAAGATGAAATAACTTATACACATTTACTAGAACAAGAAAATCAACAACATAAACTTTAAAATCAAAGGTTATTACACCAGCTGAATCAGTTAGAGTCGTCTTATTTACTACCACGCCGGAATCTTGCACGGGAATTAAAACAGCGTAACGAAATAGTTACAAATATCGCAACGACAATTATTAGCGCATTCCGACAATATCAAACTATAGTAACCACGAATCCACCGTCGGGTCATATCTCTGCCGACAATTCAGAAGAGATAAAAATCGGACTAAAACAAGAAGACGCTTGAAATTCTTAGCGCGGTAACGAAAGGATCGAATGATGGTTATGGCAGAATTGGATTGCAAATCTCGAATGTAGCGAAAAGGAAACTAGACCTTAAAAGGTGATATACCCCGTAGGTGGCGAGAATAGGGGATAGCCAACTGATAATCCAAGAATGGAATACTACCTCCTACCAGCAACCATACACGTATATATACCCGTAACCATCCTCTATTATCCACCTTCAACTACTCAAGCTATCCGGTCTTTTTATTCCTTCTACGACCAATTCTTTATTCTTCAACATGTCTATCACTTGCCAAGTCCAAGACTCTACCAATAGACCGCTAAAGGGAGTTTATGCTACTCTTAAACTCGTCGAACCGCTACATCCAACCGACATATATTCCGGCCAGACCGATGATAATGGTGACATCAGAGATTGGCGTCTAATGAAAGACGAAGACGACGAAAACAAACAAGGAACCCCTATCTGGGGTGTGCCAGGGAGCACTTGGCACATTGTTGTCTGTGTGGAATCCAATAAATTGCCTGGCAACACTTATCCCATCAACAAACCCCACCCGAACTTCTCGGTCACGGCTTCAGCATATCACAACGTGAACCTCCGCGTATCTAGCGTGGCATACAAAATACGCCACGGACACGGGAGTGTGGAAGAGGCGATACCCTACACCTTATCCTACTCTGGAATATCCTCAACCACGCCGCATATACCCTACGGCCATGGTGGATTTGCCAGAAGCGCTCCCGGATTTGGACGACACAGTTAGTTCGATTACGACTCTAGATTCTGATGGAGCCAGCTCGGATTCCTTCACGCCCAACTTCTCCACGCCGAACTTTTTGGGACCCGACTTTTCGGCTCCGGTTAATCCCATGCTACCTTTGATCCGGTCCCCGTCCCCTATTTCCCCTACCAGTTCATCTAAACCCCCGCCCAAGCCGGTACTTACGCCTATCCGCCTTACCTCTCCAGACTTTATTTCTCTTCTTGAAGAGAGTCTGAATGATGGTGAATGGCTGAAGAGTCCTGAAGTCCCAAACAGGGTCTCTCGCAAACGGAGGAGGGATACCCTCGAGAAGGATACCCTCGATGAAGCAGTAGTGGTACCTCGGAGGTCTGAAAGGTTGATAAAGAAGGCTCGGAAATAGTAGGAGAAAGAAGGTGTAGAATATTAGTTTGGAAAATCGTTTCTATGTTTTGTAGTAAACTATACTTATTCGACAGAAGTATATACGGTTTTCTCTCGGGGAATAGGTGAAGGACCTCATGCCCATCAGGCGCTTGTATATCACTCCTCCTAATATGCAATACTACCATCTATGCTGTGATAAATCATTCTGGGGCCAAACACGCCAAATACCTAGCTACTCTAACCCCACCCCCTTCTCTTGCTGCTAGCTTTTCTCGCTTGCAGGCCCTATCAATGTTTGAGATATAGAGTATAGGTATCAAGCCCGGCATGCTTGTTTTGTGGGTAACATCCTTTTCTTTGCGGTTGAGGAACTCTAACCCTAGTTCCGGCTCAGCCGGAAATAGGGTTAGGGTTCTGACCGCCATATCGGATGAGGCGTTCGGGAAGTTGTGAAGGGAGAAGCGGGTTGGACACTCGATTGCTTGACGACCTTCCAGAATGTTTTTGTGCTATTTTAATGATATTGTCGCACTATACTGACTACCTCATATGCCAGAGTACTATTACCCACAGCTATCTTATAGCCTAGAACTATATACTAACTATATATACAGCAGTTATATACAACTACACGTACGCGCGCACGGACTGCACTGTCTAGGCTCTCGCCCTTATAGCCAGTCCTCTACGCACATATTCTTTTCCTTTCCTTCGCACAATAACGTATATCTTACTATACTCTTAAGACTAGCGATAGCGATTTCGTTCAAAATTTTAGCCCCTTATCGCCAGTCGTTACCCACTCAGCGTCACGTCCACCAACTGCAGGAAATCCTAGTCGTCTCGCTTTTCGTTTATAATAATAACTCGTAACAGCTCTAAGATTAGCCAACAGGACTTATAATTTCGTCTTTAGACAATAAGATAACCTAAATATGGTTCCATATCTCCATACCACTCTTACCTTTATCTACTACTTAATCTCTTTACCAAAGGCTATAGTCTACTTTACACCGGACTTCCCCTGGCGATTAGTATCCGACCAGCTGAACTCCTTGCTTCGAGATTACTCCGCATATGACCGATTTGAGAGCGATCAGTTTCCCAGGCCGGAGAACGAAGAGGTTCCCCGTCCTCTGCCCGAGGACTTTGCCATGCGCGGCCTTTTGTGGGTTGAGAAATATTTCCCAAGCGACTGGTTCTCGGAAGACAAGATCATCGACGATGAGAAGTATTTCGAATCGGCTTCCCTCCTCGATGAAAGAATTACACGGGTTCTATACTTGGGCTACAGGATTGCTATAGAGGGAGGGGGCAAATGGCCTCAATACAACTCCAAGACTCATCAGTTCGAAACGGAATGATACCCGTTGGGGAGGAAGTTAGTGCTCTGTCTGTTACCCAACTCTGCTGTACAGAGGAATGACCTCCTCCCCAACGGCCCCAACGTCAACAACGAAAATTTACAGCTCCACCATTACTACTACTACGCGGGCCGCGACCTAGGTAACGGCATAGCCTCCGAAGACCCGCTCGCCATCATCACCCGCTACCGCGCCCTCGGCTACAAAAAGCGATACTGCATCCGGGGGGTGCGGGCGACGACGCATGATCCGAACGTGGCGGGCAGGGCGATTGATGCGGTGGCGAAGGGGTATGGATTGCCGGATAACGTGCCGGGGATATGGCCGGGGATATGGACGGGGAGTGATGATGGGGGTTGAAGAGGGTTGATAGGGCTCACGTGAGGGGGGATGAGGAGGCGAGAGAGGTAAGGGAGGTGGAGAGGAGGTTATTGGAGAAGCATGGACGGAAGAGGATGGAGTTGAGGAGAAATTTTTTGTTGTTAGATATAGCGTAGAGGGGGAAGCAGAGTTGGGTTATAGCTTTGGTTTTTGTGCACCTGCCCTTGAAGAGTCCCAGTCTCGGCAATTGCACGAGGATGGCGAAAATGGAGGAGACGAGAAACACAGAGCGGGGATCATCGTAGGAAGGCGGAGTGGTGATATTGAAGAAGCTAGCTATCGCAGGGCAGTATCCCCATTCCCACCACTGACAGTTGCTAACGAAAACCAAATCATTGCTTCCATGTCCTCCAACTATAGTGATGAGAAAATACTTGAGTCGCGTATCATCGATGCAGGAGTTGAACCTGCTCCTCAAGGGCTTTACCCTCGCGCGCAGCCGTTGCGCCTATCGAATCACAATCTCAAAGTCAGACCTCACGAACGGAACCATCATCCATTGCCAGGGGTGCGGCCACTGCATTCGCATTAGCAGCAGTAAGTTCCTCCACCTGAGTCTGGAGAGCCCTAACAGCCGTGACCACGCCCGCCACCTCTTGACGTATGTTCGCATCGACTTGATCGAGATGGGCGTCAAGGTTGTCGAGGCGTTCGGTAAGCACGGTGCGGAAAACCTCCACAGCAGCAATCAACTCGTTGAGGGCAGGAGCAGCGGCGGCCTCGGGGATCGGGGGCACCACATCGGGGGCAGGAACGTCGTCGGCGGCCACCTCGGCAGGATCCTCGATCTCAGCGTCCAACGGGGGCAAGGGGTCTGCGAGGGTTAGGCGGGCAAGGTCGGGGGGGGCACGCCAGCCCTCGTCAACGAGCTTGCCAACCAACCACCGCATAATAGCGCGCGGGGTAGGGTTGTCGTTCAAGTCGGCGTGGTCGATGTGGTAGGTGCTGTACGCGGTCCACAACTCGTCGGCCGCAGTAGCGAGTGTGGCTTGGCGGGTAGCGACCACAGCAGTGTTAACGCCATCGACATTAGCCAGCTCCCAATTGGCGAAGCTCACCTAGAGCTCAGCTCCAAGGGGGGCAAGGTCAACGGGCAGATCGCAGATGCGCTGACCGGCAGTGCGCTTGCAAGCGCTGTAAGGATCTTCGCGAGAGCCTAACATCCGAGGTTAATAGGTGAGTGAGAAGTGAAGCAAAGGAGGGAAGACTTACGGTCGATGTAGCAGGCATGGGCGCCAGCTTGACGGCGCAGGGCCTGCGCGTTAGTGGTGGTCGGGTCGCCCAAGAGGCGGGCGTCGCGGGCGAGCGTGAGAGTGCAGGTCGCGCAAGGGGGCAGGCGCATGCCGCTGGGAGAACGAGAAGAGTTAGGGCAAGACGAGCAAATGAAAATAAGGGAATACTTACAACTCATCGTCGTCGGGCTCGATGCCAGCGACCCGGCAACGGGCGTGGATGACACGCTCCTCGGGGGTAAGGGCAGCCATGGGGGACAAGAAACTACAGGGACGCAGGGCGAAAGCTTCTCGGCGGCGACGAAAAGAGGAAGAGAAGAGGAGGAAGAAGAGGGGGGAAGGGAAGGGTTCTTATACCTGAAGGGGTGGACCATCCACGGATTCTGGAGCAGAGACTTACAATAATATTTACGTCACTCGCAATCGCTAGGCAATCAAAAGAAGGGATTACGCAACTATTATCGACCTACTTGGAACGCTCTCGAACGAGCAAATAAGGCGCAACGGTATTAATACTTGGGACGACAAGCACCTCGAAGGCCGCCTGACCGCCACAGACCAATGACACCGCTAGAATAAGATAAAAGGACCCGATAAGACGACAGCAGGCCGATAAGGAGCAGCCGGCGCGGCACCAGACCGGCAAAGATCAGACTAATACGCACAGCACCGATCCCACCTAGGGGCAATTAACCTCGTTCTTATCCCAGAGCTGAAGGAGGACCTGTCCAACTACGATCACTGAGACCACGCCACGGGCTTCCACCTTGAGTACTAGGGCCTGAGCCGCCGGGCGAAGCGGCCGGGCAAGGTCCGGAGGGCTACGGGCCACGGGGCGGAACACGGAGGGCAGCCGGCACGGGCAAACGATGGACGGAACCCGGAGGGAGAATAACCACAGAAGAGGAGGCCACGGCCAAGGAGGTTTCTATCCCAGAAACCTCGAAGAGAGGGGGTCATGTCAGACCATAGAAAGTCTGTCATCACTAAGGCTCGCACTCGGGCTGAGGGACTTCGTCGTACATGCAGGACAGCACCGCCGTATGGCGTCGGAGCGGCGCGGAGATCTTGCGGCCTGCGCTACTACGGAATGGTCCTCAACGTGTAAATAAATAGTTGTCCGAACCGCCTCGTCCTAGAAAAAGGTTCAGATGTTAATGCAATTCCCATTAAACCCCTACTATCAGTTTGGTTCCCCTGCGTGAGCGCTCCGTCTGTAGGCACCTCAACCTACCTTCCTTCACTAGCCCTGACACTGCCTACACGCCTACTCAATCATCTACTCTCAGGCGACAAGGTGATGGAGCAGGACTTCAGGCTTCTGAGGGGCCGCAATGGCATGCCCAACTATTGCCCTCATGACGGCCGGGCAAGGACGGCGGAGTGGAGCACGACGGGCGGAAGGCCGGTCACGGACGGGCGGCAGCACGGGCCAGGCTGGGGGGAGACGACGGCCGAAAAAAGTGGGGGGGTTCGGCCAAGGAGGTTTCTGGGACAGAAACCTACAAGAGGGGGGGCCATGTCAGACCCAGGAAGGTCTGCCACTACACGGGCGAGCACCTGAGCCGAAGAGCTCCGTCGTAGGCGCTAGGCAGCGCCGCCGTATAGCGTCGGAACGGTTCAGAGATTTTACGAACCGCGCCACTATAGAACGGACACTACTAAACCGCTACTGAAATTCCCGGATATCCAAAAATACAATTCTAACCCTAATTACTCCAGCGTTGCCGAGGGCGGGCTCTGTACTTCTTCCTGATTATTGATTGTTTACCCTTAGAAGCTTAGAGGATACCTCGATAAGGTTCCGCTTTGTGACTTCTAGTAATGGGTTCCGGTCTTCGATCGACTGGCTGCCCCTGTGGACGAGTGGATGGCAAAGACACTTGCGAAGCTATATGAGGATATTGCTCAACGAGCCGCGGTCTTGTGATTTCAGCTTTCCGTTGATGGCCACCATTAGTGGATTTGGGCGGGTGAGTTCCATATTTTGGCATTTGGTAAAGCGCCTTGGATAATACCTCTACTCTTATATCTAGAGCTTCACTCATACCCGTCTGGACCGCCGTCTGCGCCGCCGGCAGCCACCAGGTATATGCCGTTCCAGAGCCCGCGAGCCAGCTTCTACCTCCACACAATGGTCACAGTAATTCTAAACCCGCAGAATCAACTATTCCTCGAACTGATGATCAAAAAGCTCTCTAGAACTATATTAAACTATACCTCGCCTTCACCACCGAGATTTCAGAGGTGAGCTACATCAAGGAGTCTCTTTCCCTCCTACGGCTGCGCGAGGTTCCACCCTAAACCGCCTGGTAAAGATTCCAGAGCCAAGCCCAGGGACCTGAACTATCTAACTGTCATTAGGATCTAACCAATAAGCAAAATGCTCTCTAGAGCAGTATGCTAGAACGATCCTAGGGTAGAACGAACAACGAACAACAATCCGAAGTCAGAACGATCCCAGACACTAGAACGATCCTGAGCTAGAACCATCTAAGAAACTAGAACAATCCTATACTAGAACGATCTTGAGCTAGAGCGATCCCAGACACTAGAACAATTCTATACTAGAACGATTCCAAATACTAAAACGATTCCAAATACTAAAATGATCCCAAATACTAAAACGATCCCAAATACTAAAACGATCCCAAATACTAAAACGATCCCAAATACTAGAACGATCCTAGGATAGAAGAATTCTAAGCTAGAGCGATCCTGAGCCAGAGCGATCCTAAGCTAGAACGATCCTAAGGTAGAACTTTTATTCCGTAATTGCCACTTGTTCCAATCATTATGCACTAATAAGCGAGGCGACTTGCAGGTTGTGGGTGTGACGGCTCGTTTTTCGAAACCGGAGTGGGCTCAGCCGACCTCCTAGGCCTTCACTCTTGCATTCAACCGCCTTCCTCTTTTTAAAGGAATAAAGCGGATTCGAAGGAATTAATTAGGAAATGATTAAACACTAATTAGAATACAGAATTTGAATTCTATTTAAGTTTAATACTCGTATAGGCGTAAAGTAAGGGGGAAAAAAAAGCGGAGACAAACATGCAATCCTCGCAAATTAGATTTCCTTAGACACATACATACGCTCAGGCGCGATTATAGCTATAATTCTCTCACCCCAGCTCGAAGAAACATTATTTATTCTGGACTGCTAGTTAGGCAGACCACATATAACCTAGATCCTTAGCCAGTCACGGGGGAACCATTGAGACCGGCTTCGCCGGCCTAGCTATCACTGTTGACCCTTCCCCCATAATTACGACTTCTTCCAATCATCACAAAGCAAGAAAGAACTATTAAAACCAGCGAAGCCAGAACGATCCTAAGCTAGAACGGTCCAAGAAACTAGAACAATCCTGAGCTACAAGGATACTGAGGTAGACCGATCCTGAGCCAGAACGATCCTGAGGTAGAGCGATCCTGAGCCAGAACGATCCTAAGCTAGAACAATCCTGAGCCTGTTCCTCGCACAACAATCAAAGTCCTATCTTAGTGCTTGCCTGCGCCTCGTGACATTTTCCATTGATTGTACTTTGACCAGGGACCTTGCGAGGACGGAGCTACCTGCCAATGGGTTGGAGCTCCTCTATCTTGGTATTAGCCTTTTCAAATCTTCGTCTTCATCCTTCAGCGGTAGAGGCGTAAAGTTGTAGAACTCGTTGCCCTATTCCGGGTTATCACAACCAAGTTCAAAGCCGCAGGTGGAATTCTGAGTTGGAAATGCCGCAATGGAGTGATAACCATTCACAAAACTGTGAGCTTCTTCTCATCATCCAGCATGGTTGATCCAGAAAGAGGAGTATCATTTCATCGCTCATACAAGCGAAATTACTAGTGTGAAGGAAAGTCTTGAGTACCTTCAACACCTAGTCAGTAGTATAAAGCCACAGGTTAAGCTGCGATTCCCTGCATCTAAACCAAGACTATGTAGCTGCGACGAAGCTACTGCAAGTGTGTTGGCTCACCCAAGCACTACCAAGGAAGAGACTACTTATCCGATCGAGGAGAATCGAGGCTTCTACCATTGTACCAACCTTGGCTATGACTGGGCAGTCACGGGTTAATCCCGTGGCATCTGGACCGCACAGGCACAAGCAAAAGGAGAGTCAATGGATGGAATAGTCTTGCTTCTTCGTAATAGAATAAGTCATCTTGACGTCAAAAGAAGTTACTAGAATTTACAAGATTCCTATAAATTTGCCTATCCTCCCAGACCCTTCTGGTGGCATGCTAGAAAAATGAAATAGAGAGAAAGGAATTGAGAAAGACATGGAATACATTATGTGTCTTGCGAGAAGCCAATAAACCAAACCAGTCCCGATGTGCTGCCCATGGATATCATCCGTTCCTGGAGGTCAAGAACAGACGGTCGGTAATTCGATGGCAGCCAGAGTACGTTCTGGCCGTTGCAAGTAATCCAAGACCCATCTTGTCCCAAGCCATAGCCATGGCTCTCTGGATTATCTAGTACAACTTGGCTTTCGGTAGTTTCTGTAACTATTTTAATACGTCCAACGTTGGTACGTAGGTAGCGATTAGTATCGTCAAACGATATATAGGTCATCATAGTACTAGTAATAATCGTTTGGAGGCAGCTCCCCGACGCCGGATCCCAGATCTTGATCGTCTTATCCCCCGAACAGGACGCAAGCCGCTGGCCATCAGGCGAGAAGGCCACTGAGTTAACGGAGTAGTTATGGCCTTCTAGGGTCTGGAGGCAGCTCCCCGACGCCGGATCCCAGATCTTGATCGTTTTGTCGTCCGAACCGGACGCAAGCCGCTGGCCATCAGGCGAAAATGCTACTGAGCAAACGGGGCCGCTATGGCCTTCCAAGGTTTGGAGACAGCTCCCCGACGCCGCATCCCAGATCTTGATAGTGTCATCGTCCGCACCGGATGCGAGCCGCTGGCCATCAGGCGAGAAGGCCACTGAGCAAACGTAGCGGCTATGGCCTTTTAGGGTCTGGAGGCAGCTCCCCGACGCCGGATCCCAGATCTTGATTGTGTCGTCCCACGAACCGGATGCGAGCCGCTGGCCATCGGGCGAAAATGCTACTGAGCAAACGGGGCCGCTATGGCCTTCCAAGGTTTGGAGACAGCTCCCCGACGCCGCATCCCAGATCTTGATCGTTTTGTCGTCCGAACCGGACGCAAGCCGCTGGCCATCAGGCGAGAATGCCAGTGAGTAAACGTAGCGGCTATGGCCTTTTAGGGTCTGGAGGCAGCTCCCCGACGCCGGATCCCAGATCTTGATCGTCTTATCCACCGAACAGGACGCAAGCCGCTGGCCATCAAGCGAGAATGCCACTGACCAAACGGGGCCGCTATGGCCTTCTAGGGTCTGGAGGCAGCTCCCCGACGCCGGATCCCAGATCTTGATCGTTTTGTCGTCCGAACCGGACGCAAGCCGCTGGCCATCAGGCGAGAATGCCACTGAGCGAACGTAGCTGCTATGGCCTTCTAGGGTCTGGAGGCAGCTCCCCGATGCCGGATCCCAGATCTTG